ATAAAACGTAAATAAAAGATCCAGTATTACAAATAGTCTGTTTATTTAATTTTTGAAATCGCATTTATGTTCACAACACGAATTGCCTAATTCGGATAAGACAGCGAAATGAGAAACGATGAACACGTCTACTGAAACACTCGGAAATTAATGCCAACTTTCACGAGTTAATGTTAATATCCAATATGTCCCTGATTCCGCAGCTAACAGGCACCCTGATCACGAAGGTCTACGTAGGGAGACACGCCCATCTCAAGTAACCAATCAACGCGATGGACACTTTGCATTTCGATGGCACATACCCGCCGTCTTTTTTTACTTTTTCCCTTCCGTTTCTCTCTCTCTCTCTCTCTCTGTCTCTGTCTGTCTCTCTCTCTCTCTCTATCTCTCTGACCACAGTTCCTCTGATTAGGCTTAATGTTGTTGTTGTTGTTGTTGTTGTTGTTGTTTTAGTTTCATTGGCGTGTATCATTCATTTATGAAAATTTACGCTCCTTCTACTCATTAGCCTTATCACTAACCAACCCAAGCCCACGTTAAACCAGGGAGGTGAGTCTGTTATATCCCTGGTTTCACCTCCCTGGTATTTTTACTTACTTCAATTTTTCAGCCATTATCGATCCACTGAAGGATGAAGGCCTCAGTATGCTGTCTCCAAAATGACTCTGTTTACTGCTTGTTGGTGCCTATTAACCTTTCCCCAGTACTGTTGCAGCTTATCTCTCCACATTTTTCTTTGACGTCCCCCGTTTCGTTTACCCAGGGCATGTGAGTTAAAGTCTCACCTCCCTGGTTTACCAATGTGTCCAGTGAGTGATTGCTGAACTCCAGCGATTATCATGTCTACGGCTGATGTGGCCCGCCCAATTCCATTTCCTTCTTTTCACTGTTTCAAGGATGTCCTGGACTTTTGTCTGCTCCCTGATCCATTTGTTCGTTTTTCTGTCTTTGTATGTGATGCTTATTATACTTCTTTCCATGTTGTGTTGAGATGCTGCTAGATTTCTTTCCATTTTTGACGTTAGTGTCCATGTTTCTGCAGCGAATGAGATTGCTGGGATGATGCACAGATCTTCATTTTCAGGCATAATGGAAGTTTGCCTTTCATGATTTAAAGGAAAAGAGGCACTTGTCAAAGTAATATGGGCACCTCTCAAATTTGAATCAGTTAATAATTATCAGAGGTGAAGGGGGCACTAATCAAAAGTGAAAAGGGACACTTCTCGTAAATGAAAAATGAAAGAGTGAAAGAGTAGAGAAGAAAAAAAAGAGAGATGGAGAGACAGAGCAAGAGAAGGGAAGGGAAACAGAGCAAGAGAGAGAGAGAGGAGAGGAGAGGAGAGGAGAGAGAGAGAGAGAGATGTGTGTGTAATGGAGAACGATACATTTAATATTTCCAGCATGACTAGATTATTGAATATAGAGAAAGAGGGGAGGATAGACATGTAAACAATTCTATGTGCGTGGCAGAAACGCCAAGAAACGTAAACATTGTATAATACCTGGGCTAAATAATGGAAAGATATAAATGTCTGGGAAGGAGACTAGCATTATAGAAATAGGACGATTTGATATTGTAGCAGACAATGAATCAAATTACTCATAGGGTTGTACGCACATCAAAATCAAAAGTAACATCATTATTTCTTTCTTCTTCTTCTCCTTCTTCTTCCTCCTCCTCATTATTATTATTGTCACCCTTCATGAGTATTATCATCAACAACAACATCATAATAAAAGTATTTGTGATCATAAAGGTCTCGATTTGAGTTCACGAAGATGTCAAAACATCCACACACTGTTCCTAACCTCCTCAGAATACCCAAAATTGGAGCGACAGAAAAATAGAAATAATCTATTTAAAAAAAAAAAAAAATTTAAACGATGCTACAATAGCCCAGTGATAAAAGTTCATTGTTCCCACTTCTGTAAATGTAAGGCTAATTTACCTGCCCTCCCTGCAATATTCTTTTCTTCTTCCCTGAATTCCAACAGTTCTTTTTGAAACTCACCCAAAGACAATATTACGGACTTTCCCCTGCATCTATATTTATCCAATTTTCATTGCAAAAATAATTGTATTAAATATCTTTATTCGTGGGGAATTACCGGACAACCCTAAATGAATATCTACTCAGTCGACAGACCTTAATTCCCTTAGCTCAAACTAAGCGTTTACATTCTGCCATAACCTTTGAACATGTACACACTCCCAGAACAAGCGTGAACATGTTTCAATCTTTTGCTTACAAAATGAGCAAAAATTATCTTCAACAAAGCCGAATCTCAATAAGTGTTCATTTTCCTAGGCCTACTAAATGTCTCCCTACATACCTCATTTGAAAAATCTGAAAATCCCCGTCCATCATGAATCTTCAACAACAAAAAATTGTAACTTCTCACTTCTCTATAAAATATTCAGAAACCTTTATCGAAAATAAATCTCTGAGGAGCTTCACTGCACTGTTGAACTGCATTATCATACTCTTTTACATCCACTAAACTCCACGTATCCTTTTTTCCGCTTCTCAAAAATAGCTTCCCCAATATTCCATACATCAACAATTTTGTTTCCTTTGAACCCCAAATGTCGAAAGAAAGATATTTACCGCATGCCATTTTCAGCAAAAATATCTTGACTTTGAACTTGAAATCATAGTTACACAAAAAAAAAAATCTACCTCCCCCCATCTTGAAGCAGAAATCAAAGTATAGATCCATCTCATTGATTTTTCTCCGTACAAGTCTTTTCACCCACATTACACGTTGGGTTTAACGAGTCATTAATTAGTAACCCTCTTTCACTATAACCTTGATACAATATTAATCTGTTAATTCGATCTTTCCCATTCCGTATAAATTAAAAACATATTTTCTGTATTTCTGATATGACCCACTTTGGAACCAATAGTGAAGCAAAAACGTAATTTAAATTTACATAATGCATATGTTTTTCCAAACACGGTGAGGTCCCTCTGTTTCCACCATCCGAGAAGTCTTTTAATCTTGCATAAAATCACCTTTTAATTCAATTCCTTTCTTATTCTGACGTCTAACGCAAAATACACTTCCAAAATCTTAATAATTATCTTTAAGCACATTCCCGAAGGGAAGTTTTTCTGATTTGTTTTTGTTTTTCCCCAATATAGTTATTAGTTATCCGATTTTGCCCAAACCTTTTTTGATTCGTTTGTCTGATTTTTCTGCTTTTATTGTAAGTAAATTATTTTGGGGTGGACTTGCTCGTTAAGGTATCAAGTAAAAGAGTGAGAGAAGATGTGAAGTCTGAATGAAATAAAATAAAGCAGCCGATTAAATGCGCATACTATTAAAAATATAAGATACATTATCATTATCTATCAAAATTGACACCAAAACTTAAACAATATTAGTTTCAACCAGTTCTAATATCAAATAAATGAAGGGGGGGGCACAGTGCCCCTTTATACAAAGGAAAGTGCCCCTTTAACTGTGTAAGAAGTGCCCCTTTTTAAAATAGGAATAGTGCCCCTTTAAATTTGACAAGTGCCCCTATTAATTTGTAAAAGTGGCTCTTTCCCTTTTCAACTCTGATAAGTGCCCCTTTTATTTCGACACGTGCCCCTTTTCCTTCGACAAGTTCCCTTTTTCCTAATGATAAGTGCCCCTTTTCCTAAGGATAAGTGCCCCATTAAAAAGAGCCCCTTCCTATTCTTATAAGTACCCCTTCTCTGGTAAATGACCCTTTACAGGTACGAGAAGTTATTCCTTTTCACCTCAGATAAGTGCCTCCTTAACCTCCGATAAATGCCCCTTTAAAATCTGATCGTGCCCATTTTCTTTCAACTAATGCCGCTTTTCCTTTATTATAAGTGCCCCTTTTTCATTCACATAAGTGCCCCTTTTCATATCTGGTCATTGCCTTTTTTTCAGGTACGATAAGTGCTTCTTTTCACCGCTGACAATTTCCCTTTTAACGATGATACGCGCCCCTTTTCCGTCGACTAATGCCCATTTCCTATATTCTCATGACTGACTTAAAAAAAAAAACCCTGATAAGTGCCTCTTTTTGAGGGTGCACGTAAGAAGTGCCCCATTTTCACCTCTGATAATTACTCTTGACACATGTTCCTTTTCTTTTTTGATAAGTGTCCCCTTTTCCTCTCATCATTAAACGCGCCTCAAATTTCAAGCGACTAAGAGCAATTTTTCGCAAAGCTCGCTCGCTAAGCTGGGACGCATCTATAGATGATATACTTATGTTACTTATATCAAAGGTCTTTTAAATCTTCCGTTATGAGAATGTGCTTTAAATTAACCCCATCAGGATTGGGTTTTTTCCCTCTCATTTATAAGATGTAATTTTTCGTACTGCGATCTCACAAATATTAAAAAATTTCCTTGCTCGCTTTACTCGCTCGCCCCCGGCCCCCCCCCCCCCCCCTTGAGAAAAAAATCATGTAAAAACACGTGATTTTTACCTTTGGGGGGGGGGGGTGCAAATCTATAAATTTTCGAGGACCAAAAAAAAAATAAAATATTTTCAATAGCCCCCCCCCCACACTGAGCGAATTTTCGGCCGGCTCGATTTTCAAATTTTCGGGAGCAAAAAAAAAAAAAGGGTTGGGCCCCCCTCCCCTAAGAAATCCTGGATCCGCGCCTGGTATATACCAATGTCTAATTAAAAGATTGTATATTTTCGCTTTGAGGTTTCCCTTTGTAGGTGCCCTTTTTTTCTCCAGAAAATGCCCTTTTTTCTTGGTGCCCCCCCCCCCCCCCATCCCCCACTATGGACGTCGCTCGGCCGCCCCTGAAATAATGAATAACGAGCACAGAAATTAATCCTCCATAACCTTGCACTTGTAAGAAAGGACAAGGTTCAGAAGAGAGAGCGAGACGCCCTCTCACACCAAGCCTGGCGGAAATCATCGAAATAGATGGATATCGGTTACAAACCAACAACAACAACAACAACAAAATTTTCTCTCCACGTACGTACGTATCTAGTACGTGAGTGCTTGCGTGAGTGATACCAACGCGAATCGTTCGTCCTGCCGCGCCGTAGCGGTAGCGAGGCCAGACTAGGCTAGTAGCCCGCTAGGCCAGCGACAGGTGAAGTCACACTTGGGGCCCACACGACTTAAAATTTGCATAATAATAGTTTACCAAGCGAAGTCAATCGAAAAAACAGGATGATGAGCTCAATTGAAACTGAGAAAATGGCACAAGCACTACCTGTAAGCTCACAATCAGACGATGGATCTACTAAAAGTAAAACCGAAGAATGGCATCCATTCGACTTGATCAACGAAAGGAATGGAAAACGACTCTCCCTCTTTCTTGTTGTGCTACTCGTCTGCTTCCATACTGCTCGGCATCAATTATTGCGTAAGGATTTACTAATATAGTACTAGAAGTCTACTAGTAGTAGGCCTGGACTAGTAAGAAGTCATTTGTATGAAAGCTTAAACGTGCATTCAGCACTTGTTAAAACTCACCAAGGCACCTAGAGTCTACAGTGTAATTCAATTGTTTTAAGACGAGGAAAGAGTTTAAAACCCGCCATGGGAACTTGCTTTATAGTTTGTTGCCTTAAACGAGCCACCTTGGCCTTGCCTTGGTGAGTTTTAGGAAGTCACCTTCTCGTTTTAAACAAGGCACCTTGCCCTTGGCGACGTTTAACAACTACGGTACTCTTTTTGTTAAACAAGGCACACTTGAGAATTTAACAAGTCGCCTACTTCTGCCGTTCTGGGCTTTAACAAGGTGCCTGATGGCCTTGGCGAGTTTTGAATTCTTGCCTTATTGTCTTGAACAAGGCTTTGCGTTTGCAAGGGCCAAGGCGCATTGGTTTAACAATAATGTAATAATTAATCATTGGAAGAAAAAAAAAATGTATTCATAGTGGGGGGGGGGGGGGGGGGGGGGGGGGGTTGTGTGTCTAGATGCTTGACAAAAATAAAGCCACCACTTTTGCCTTTGGGCTTTGGATTGAACAAAATGTATGCATCAAATAGCCCTAGCCTTCATACATATTTGTCCTTCATATAAATATTGTTCAATTAGTCTTGGAAGATTTATGAAATTTTGAGTGTAAACTTCTTCAAATTACAGTTTTAAATCCACTGTCTGATATGTAATCTTAGAATTTAGATTTCATATTGACTCATGAATGTCAATCATATCTATCTAAGACTAAGTTACAGTGGTATGACCTAATTTTCTGATGGCTCATGGGTCAGAGACTAAAAAATTGACCAATTGAAAAAAAAATATTAATACCCCCCCCCCCCTCCCCCCAACTGAAAAGGAAAAATAAATCACCTAATGCTACTGATTATGTAGATCAAACTGTATCTTAGTTGGATCTAGTACATATGTATGTTTCTTAATTGGGTGAAAAATTTTGAAAATATTGACAAAACTAAAAAGATCAGCAAATTTTGCATTTTGTGCATTCGTTCCATGAAGATATGAATTTTAACTGTATTGTAAGGGGCTTCAGAAATGTTTAATTTTTAGACAATATATCATCAAATTGTACGTAGAGTACAAATTGATATGAAGTGATTGCATGATATTTTGCTTTGCATTTGGATGCAATTATTATTTTATTTACTCTAAACTCAGATTTGTTAAGTTTGGACTTGCTCTTATGACTTTCTCTATGATTGCAGCCCGTTACAATAGACCAGTTCACGGTTAGCACATTACTGCAATGACCCCGAATATCCACAGATCTTCAAAACATGAAGAGGTCCCACTTTGTACATTGTGAAATAATCACTCCTGCAGCGATGGAGGTGCTACATGAATAGCCTTTGTTTCCCCTTTTCAAAGAATATTTCCACCTGTGTATCATGGAGTGCACTGAATGTGCATGAATGAATAATGATTACATAACTTTCATGACCACGTATCCAGTATTTCGTCTCCGTGTATTTCAAAATTTGTTCTGCAATGACCTTTATCTGCTCATGCTCAGAGTGCAACCGTGAACTGGCTTATTGAATCCACTATTGAATTTTGGGATTGCAATTAATATCTCCAGAGGTCTTTGTCTTTTTTTTTTTATATCTAGCTCTGCCCATCTGTAGTCTGACATTGCCTTCGTTTTGGTACTAATCAAGCTAAATACTTTTTCTTTGTAGAATGTGAGAAATCGTAGATAAAATAGCAGACTCGCCCCCCCCCCCCCCCCCCCCCAAAAAAAAAAAAAAAAAAAAAAAAAATTAGATTACTTATGACCTTTGTAGATGTGAGTTAGGCTCTGGCTCTAGCCTAGGTTTTAATTGTTAACCCCATGTTTTACTTTGCATTATATAGTACTTTGTTTCATAAAAAAAAACAAGTGATGTCTTCTTTCTACTCCACAGACTTTGTACATAGTATGCATGTATGAGTGGTTTCCTATTTCATGATGTAGCCCATATCTCTACTCCAATTAGTTTGTAAGGCAAGGAATTCAATAAAAGACTGCTGTATGTCTGTTTCTTCACTACAGCCTATGATTCTTGCCAAGCTCTTTTACAAGATGGCCACTACCATGGTCCAGGTGCCTGGCAACCCGATGGATGTACCATGCATCACTACTCACTCAAGTAAGAAACTATATCAATAATACAACATCATTAGAAGCTATGTACATTTGTAAGAAAATTATTTTCTACACAGTTTCATTATTGTTGGATGTCAGTCACTTGGATCTATTTGTATGCATGGTGCAACAGTAACATGGATTTGTGCACATACATGTACAGTTAGCACTAAGCACTAATTAAATGAGACCCTTGTACCGGTGATCATGTATCCAAGTAGATGATAAGCTGGAAGTCCATTACAATTTTAGTTTCTAAACTGCTTTCAACTTTGATAGAACTTCACAGTGTTTTGCACTGTTTTCTCAAGTTTCCTAATATTAATGAAGCTGGTCATGCGATTGCATTGTGAAAGAAACGTTGTGGAATCACCTAGCATAGTATTGGTGTGTATTGCAAGTTTCTGGAATCATCAAAATGATAAGAAATTTGGCCCGGTCTTGGTAAAGTTACAAGAACTATATACAGAAAAATGTTTATGAGACTACGCGACACGTGCGCGATATCTATCAGGTCCAAATAGATATAATAATTTACCAAATATATCAATTAGTAGGTGGTTTCTCGGCAAAATTTGTATTATCACGTATTAGTCAAAACATATTCTTTCACATGATTGAAAATAAAAGCTTCCATTTCATTTTGTGAGAGGGGGCATTTCCAAAACTGGTCTTTACCTTTAAAACAAACTTCTGTTTCTCTTTGGGTTAGATAATCTCTGCCATGATATTTCTTCTAACGCAGTTATCTTTTTAGCATATTTGTCAGATCTTTCCCCCTTCCCACTTCTGCCCATTGTTTTCTGGAACACTGTTATGAAATCCAGACCACCATAACCTGAACAGACTGTGCTATATTACTTGTATACATTGTCGTAAGAACTAGTGGACCTATAATATATTTAATAGAGCATTATTGAAGTCTTCCTGCTAGGGAGGAAGTGGCTTTGTTCAGGTTGTAGAATGAGGGGAGAGGGGAAGTATTGGTTAAGTCCAATAATGTAATATCTCTTTGTTTAGTCTAAATCTTTACTGTATGTAGAGGGATTAGCTAATCCCTTGTAATCCCCTTTATATACATGTATGTATCACGTAATTGTATGCAGTAGTGACAGTAGATTGATTGTTCATGAAGTACCAGTATTACACCTAACCTAATAAGGCTAAATCTTCTCACATAATGATCAAGTCTATACAAAGTATTCTGAGAAATGTCACTATTTGATGAATTTCTTATTTTGTTGATTATTCTCTAGTTATTATGTTTACTCGCTGCCGTCTCTGGTTTCCGAAAAATTTACCCAGCTTGAAATTCTTATTGAAAATAGCATACGCTTGGTGGTGTATTTGTGAATCGTATTTTGATATTCACATTTCATCTGATTGTGGTCTGTCATAGTATCTTGTTACAAGAATATTCCTTTTAATTCTGAAATCTTAATTGACTCAATTCCAACCTTTTTAAAAGTAAATGTACATGTAGCATGGAATGAAGATGATTATCTGCATCATAAACAGAACAAGTGGGTTTAGCAGACTTGCCCTAAGATTACATATTTTTTTACTGCACAGATATTGCAAGCAGCCAATATAGGTAGATTTATTGACTCTATATAGATATGCAATGATATTTCTATGGCCTTTCACTAGTGATTAAATTTGTTAAAATTGTCCAACTCTTGCAGAGATACGCTTTCGTGCTTTCAAGATAAACGGGTCATCATCGTTGGAGATTCACGGATGAGGCAGCTGTATTTTTCACTTGTGAAAAAATTGACTATCCAACATATTGAAGAGGGGAAAATAGTAAGTAATCAAAGCTTTTTACGTGTATTAATCATAACAACTTTCAGGGTATGTGTACCGTCATTGGAAAAGTTAAAGATAATAATACTCAGTTTTTATATAGCGCTTCCAAACTTGGAGATTATTACCCTAGCTTAATTCCTGCCAGGTACCCATTTACATCACCTGGGTTGAGTGTGGCAAATGGAGATCAATGTCTTGCCAAAGGACATTAGGGCCGCGGCGGGTCTCGAACCGCAGACCTTGTGATGGACAGTCCGTCGACTTAACCACTCGACCACGGCACCTCTACATAGGATTGAATATGATTTATTCTGAATTTTTATGATGGCACATGTGTCTTTTAAAATAACTGCGCATCACATTTTATCTTGTGGCCCATCTTCCTCAGTTGCTTCATAAGGAAAGACGGTGATCATCACCCATCCATAAAATCTAGTCATTCATATAAGGAGCTTAAAAAATGCTTCATTTATCTGGTGTTTTTTTTAATGAATACTGTTGATTCACAATCCATTGCCATCTCTAGCATGTTTACTGCTAGTCAATTATCTGTGATGCATCATTGGAAAAAGTCGACATTGCATCAGCTTTTATGGGCCCAATGTCTGTAAAAATATGCACTGATGCTAAAAGAAACCAAATACCCACTTATCACACTGATCATGCGTTAGTGATATATATCATAATGAATAGTACCACGCAATTATGCACCCCTTCAAACTCTCTCATAGACGAGTCAGATCAAAATGTTTATTTGAAGGAAGCATACCTTTTACTGTACAACCAAATGGACGAATGGCTCTTTAAAACACTTTCACATTTGATTCGTAGCCAGCTGGCTACTAATCAAAGTGAGTGCTTGTATTTATTCTCCTCATTTTCCCCTTTCATGAGAAAAGAACAAAGCTCGTGTTTATATTACGAGAAACACATTGACCTGTGTTCAGACCTTATTTCCTTATACCGGTATCCTGATAAGTTGCCATAAACGAGTGTGTCACAATATCACCACAAATTTATACAGGCAGTCTTTGATTCTTGTTCAAGCAAGCCATATTAATTTTCTTTCGTTTTTGTAGCCTACTTTATGATTCTTACACATGAAATAGCCATATAGCACAGTTTGGCATTAGGCCTAAACAAAATGTTGTATTGCCCTTTGCGACCGACCCCAAAATCTTGAAATCGCGGCTTAAAAATAAAAAAAAATTATTACATTTTTTAAAGAAAAAAAATGTATTAAAGCATTCAAAACTGACAAATATCAACCCAAAGAGGGAGTAAAAAAAAAAAAGAAAAAAAGATTTCTGACCGACCTACCTATGTTTTGGCACCTAAAGGGCAATACAACATTTTTTTTTTAAAAGGCCTTACAGCTGTTGCTGTAACCGTGGAAACAAAAATAATGTGGTCAGTAATGGGGCTCTGAAAAGCTTAATAAAGCACAGAATATCGGGAAGCTGATTTACAAAAATACTGATAGTGGGGAAGTCCAAGCCATTGCCCTGTATGTCACAAACCACAACTAATATTTTAGTATATCTGATGATTGTATAATGGCCCTACTAGAGCTTTTATTAGACCTAATATTCATTTCAATTCAATTAATTTATTTTCAATTATAAATCAATGTAAACACAAGAGCAAAATACAGCAATAAAATCACAATACAAAATGGTGGGATTTAAAAAAAATGATAGTTAACAATGATACATATGATCAGAGTATGTTTCACAAATTATAATACAGTACTAACAATAATACATGAAATCAAGACATACATGTACATGTACAGACAGCATTTGCACATCAATCTCCTGGAAAAAAAAAAGGCATACTAGACACATATATGGAGAAAAAAAAAGCACATTTAATGTCATTATATGTTAATAATTCTACATTAATTTGTGATGTATTATAAGATACCAGATTACAAAATATTTTGGATTTGTCTTGTAATGTATAAGGACTAGTAAGAGAAAATATTATCCTTGGCTAAATCATTATGAGATGTTTAATAGGGGCTTTGTTTGCATCGATGCACCGATGCACCGGTAATCCTAATTCCCTTGTTCCATGTGGCTTGCAAACCAATGTGCTTCTAAATTATAGGAGATGTTAAAATTACATACTCAAATGCAATGAAAACCAGGCACATGTATTTGACTTCCACATATCGTCTGTTTGGAGCCAGAAGGGTGCTAACTAATATACTTTAACATAGAATTAACGCCTTCTGGGCTCAACAGACGAATATATTTAATGTGGCGTACATGAAATTTAAACCACCTGTGTACCTACTGGCAAATCTAAACGGCAAGGTCTCACTCTCTTTACTGCTATTATTACTAGTACTGCTCTGGTGTGGGAAAATCAATCAATTTGATCTGGCAGCCTTACTACATGTAGTTTTCTCAAGCCTAAGATCAATATTGACCAAAATATGAGGGTTTAACGCTCTAATACGTGCATACTTTCCTAATCACCATGGCGAAATTATGTATTTCAAGTACAAGTGCTAGAGACTGAAGCAGATTCTGACCTGACTCTTTAATTTAAAAAAAGTGGTCAGATCTTTGTCCTTTTGCCTACGAACTGACTGACTAATGAGTCATGTTGTCGGATGCCGATGTGTAAGGTTGGTCCTCAGTTGTATACGTCGCAGTTGTTTTGTGGTTAGTCGTTTAATGGAGAACTGACCCCAAAGAATAAGTGTAGATATTCTGAAATACAAGATGAATTCCTGCCTTTCGATGTACAATAAATCTTACGAACGTGTAGAAGAGAAATATAAGATTTCTTGGCATGATCTAATGCCTTTTAGCATGACATGGGCACAGCCATTTTCTTGAAAATGTGACGTACCAGGCAGAGTTGTACATTTATCATGCACTAAGCTTTAATTGGAAACAAAACCTTTATTTTTAAATGAGGGAAAATCATAGCTGAGAAGGTTTTTAAAAAAATTACATTTGGTGAAAAATATATAATAAGGTAACAATTGTAACTCATTTATTTAAAAATACTAAAATATAGCGGTTGAAAAATCTATAGTTTTTGAAATATTATCTCTATTTTTTTGCAGCATTCTGATATTACACATCATGAAAAGGATAGAAATACAGATATAGTAAGTACTTTCTTCTACTTTCATTGTCATTCTGTATGTACCTGTCAATGTCAATATGAATTTTGAACTTTGTTTCCTTTGCAGGGTCCCTCATACATTACACATACATGTTTGTCATGATTTGGGCCTCTGCCCAGTTTACATGTACATGTATGTACATTTATCATGGGGATACCGGTAGGTTAAAGGTGAAATCCTGCAAAATGAGTATCTCAGCCTCAAACCAAGTAAAGTACTCATATTTCTGACCTACCGGTAAGTACAGTATTTGAATTGAATAATGGCCTAGCTATTCTGTGCCTGAAGTATCGTGTTATGTGGCTGAAAAGTTTTATTGTAGCATTATTTTGAGTGTTGATGAGTCTATTGTAGAGTTGCATTGGGTGTGGCTGGTATTTGTCTACCGGCACTTGAAGTATTTTGATCTAAGAGCCTATTTGTCAATCTCACCTTCCTTGTATCTCTCTTTAAGGTTCACCTCAAATTTGCAGTTCAACCACAATGCCATCAAAACTGCTTTATGTACCTTTCCTAATCTTTCCGGTCCTTTGAATATTACCATAACACTCATTGATACATGTATACAAGATTAGTCGGACTAATTCAAGTTCTTGAATAAAATAAACATCTTTTTAACCTCCCATTAGCATATAACCTGCTGTTCTGACTGTGTATATATTCTTTTCCTTTCTCTCTATTTTTGAACCAGCCTAACATATTACAAGTATTTTACATTCTGATTCATGTACAGTTATACCCCTTTTTTTTCCATCTAATACAGGAATTTTGGTGGCAACCTGAGTTGAATGATTCTACCATAGAAGTCTATAAGAAAAGAATATTGGTAAGAGTTTGATTTGAAAGCTACATATACATGTACATGTACATCCTTATATTACTTCAATTGCAACTACCAGTACTCATCGTTTAAATGCAAACAAAAACTAATAAAATTTAAAGTAAGCTGTTCAGTCCTGTAGGTGGTTATGATTCATACATTGTGATATTACGGCTAAAACTTTAATCTGTTTTCCTCTGGAAATTCCCACAATGTACTTGGTACTTGGTACTTGGTTGGGTAATCCCTTTGGCAGCTCACTCAGGAAGCTATACTAGGATGGTAGTTGAGGCGATTAACTACAAGGAGTGTCATGAATTGCTGGAATGGTGTGTGGACAAAGCACTTGTCAATTTACAATACTCATACATTGTGTCATTATGACTAAAACTTTAAACTAAAAACAAACAAATAATGTTTGTTTTCCTCTGGAAATTCCCCAAAAGTTCTTGAACTTTGACTATCCTAGAATACCCTGAAATATCTTTAATGTCCTGGAACTTCAATAACCTACATCCTGCAATCATGTTTGTATCCAAACTCTAAAGGTACAATTAAAAATGAACCATATCCAACTGGTCTTGGAGAATCCTTTTTGTGATTCTTACTTCCTACTACGATAATAATGATATAACACAATTACATTGTGTCATCTATCTATGGAAAAGATATTCCAAGACGCATTATGAAATTAAGAAATTAAGGAAGAATAAATCTAAAATAGATAACATAATACAAATTGGGTGGAATTACATTCAGGTACTGTATGCTTTCAAAAAAAGGACTGTCTTCAGGTTAGACTTAAATTAATCAAATTTGTCGCGGTTGAAAGAACGTATATATGAGCTGGTAATTGGTTCCATAGACATGGTGCAGTACGTGAGAAAGCTTAGTCTCCAAGAGATGATTTTGTTCTCTGGGATACATGGAGGTTCTTACCAGAAGAACAGAGACTATGAGTTGGAATATGTTGAGAAACTAGATTTTCAGATATGATTTAACAAAACATACCAAGCTTTCCAAGTAATGAGCAAAATGTTGTATTTGATACATTCTGTATGTGGTACCCAATGTAATCCATCAAAAATGGAAACAATACTGTCCCTTCCGCATATCCTATGTACAGTAGATGGGTAGGTATATGATGGGCTAATGTAACTTAGTGTGTTGACTTTGTAGGAACTTGGTCCTACTGTTTGATGAACATGCTCTGGAACAACATTTACATGTTTGATGAGTAAACAAGAGGCTTTAATATCCGTTATAATAAACATTCAGATTGAATTACAAGAAAACAAACATGAACTTAAAACACATCAGATGTTTGTGGAGCTGTGGTCCGATAATAATTTCACACAATTTAAGTCCTCACTAGGAACATGTTTTTAAGAAAATGTCCGTCCATGGTAACGAACAAACATTTTTTTTTATTATAATAGATTGATCTTTATGAATTTCCGCTACTAACAATTTGCAGGAAAAACATTCTTTCAGATGGTAAGTTTGTCACATTTTGACTACAGGTGTACTATAAATTGTAATACAGTCAAACCTGCTTTAGTGACCACCTGTCTACAAAGACCACCTGTCTACAACAAGCACATTTGTTGTTCCCCTTGAAAATGGTTTCTCATTGAAACATGTACTAAAGGAACCTGTCTACAAAAAACACTGTTTGTGTTTCCCTTGGGCGGTCGCTATAGACAGGTTTGACTGTAATTACAATATCATTTTGACATCAGATGACTAAAAGAAAAATACCCCGGCCACACAGTGAACACAGCCTGAAATTTTTGGGGAATTTTCCAACAGGAACCTTACATATAAAAAATATACACAAAAGAGGCACATTTAACATTTCATGAATACTCTTTTATCTTTCTTTTGGATGCAGGATGAAGAGAGAAAGCCAGCATTTGTTATTCATGGGCTAGGAACATGGACCATCAAACTAAACCATGGATCATCAGAAGCTCTGCAACAATTCCAAAGTAAGTTGGTCCCTCACTTTGGACTCTCAGAACACATTGACTGTATTCTATCAATTCAGGTTTGACCTGAACGTGGGTCTATACATCACATCTTTGTTCAACCCAATTGTGAACAAAAGCCTTTACCCAATGTTGGGTTTAAATTCAAATCAAATACAGAGCCATTGTATTGTATGTGTTTATTTTTTCTATTGTTTGTGGTCTATTTTACATGACATTTTGATCCTACACAATTCTGAATATTCTGATTTTTCAAAATTCTGAAAGACCCATTTTGTTTTAAAAGCCAAATATAGCTTGTTTTATCATGTGCCGCGAATCAAGTGTTCACCTGCTGCGTGAGTTGAATGGCTGCATGATCGAGCAGCCATTCCCTTTTTTGTCCAGATTTTCCCCGTATTGCCAGTTTAACAATGCCGCTGCATACTGGTAAGGCCGTGTGAACGCCTGTTAAGGGTATAGATTTCTTATTTTCAAATTATATTGGCAGGTATGCAATTATGCCCAGATTGAATTCCCATCTGACAATTTGAATGTTGCATGCAATTTCAGTCAGATGTACATGTATATTTCATGCTAAATGTATGTCGTTAACATGAGAAACATGTGTTCTTGAAAATATATATCACATCAATAGTTGTGTTATGTACTTTTCTGATTGATTAGAGCGGGACCTTACATAATCTGTTCCGACCAATTAGACCAATTTATTAGACAGGACCTATAACTGCTGATATGTATTGAGACACCAGGTTGGGGCATATAAAAAAAATGCAAATACTATGCAAATACTACATGTATATTTAGTTTTGTGCAGCTGAACTGATCAAATGCTGTACACGTAAATATTTGATATTTCTTCTGTGCAAGCACATTTTTTTTAAAAGCAAATAGCTCATTGGAATGCAAGCCCAGTTTTGTGAAGAAGTTCTTTTGAACAAGCGAGAGTTTGTCAACGATCCTTTTTGCTCGAGTCTGTTTATAAAGTTACTACCGGTATTCATTTATTCAGCCTTCCAAAGATATAATACAAAATAAATATAAATGCCTTTGGGTGATTTCTTGAAGGGCATTTCAGAAGTATATATACTTCTGGATTTTATTGATACTTGTTATAATAGGGGCATACACTATTTTTTGTTATGGGGGCAGGGGGTAGCACCCTCATCCCCTCTCTATGTGTCTTCACAATTTTCCAAGGACCATGTTTAAAGGGATCGTTTAACAATGTCAAATCTGAGATGTGATATGGTGTTATATTGAAGCCCTAAAAAAATTGCGCTTCAAAATGATCAAGAAGTGCCTCAAAATGTGAAAACTTTTGAGTGACCGGTTTTACCATACTCGTTTATCCCAATTGACTGTAGTGTTATGAAAACCGTTTGGCAAACCCAAAATTTGATTTCGATTTTCAATTATAAATATCTTGATAATCAGACAGGTGATGGGCTTGTAAAAGTCATGGGGTTCCTGACTGACCTAAAGGTTTATAATTATTATTGCAGCATAAGCTAAATCAAGGATTTTTTTAAAGGATCTATTAAAGACAAAGTTACCGGATCCCTTTAATAGAAGCCTAGAGGTAGAAGAGAATGTAGAAATTAAAAGGTGAATAATGTTTACATTGGTGTGGATGTAATAGTGCTATATTTGCCTTTGTTTCCTAACAGCAAACCTCACAAAATTTGCTCCGGTCATTGCCGAAACAGCCCGACAAACACAAGTCATATGGATGTTACAAGGTTTGTCATTAGTTCATTTTATAACTATTTCACATCAAAAGGATAGATGATATGTACATTTTTAAAGATTATTGGATTTTTGACTATCCCTAATAATTTGGATACCTTGTAACCTGAAAAGAGGTTGTAGTATTCTTTTTTCTTGTAATGACATGTAGTTTGGTTCCATTTAAGGCCCGTTCAGATATATACGGTGGTGAACTTTAGTTAATTTACGCTTATTATGCATTAATCTCAACTAGCAAAACCTTCCCCCATTTTCTTTTCTGGTAATTTCAAATATCAAATCTTCCTTTCTTTTCCTTATAATACTTATTCCTCAATTCTTCTATTAAATAGCTTTTCCCATTAGCAGGTTCTTTTGATGAACAAAAATATCAACAGCTTTTTCAGTAAGGCTACTACATGGTGTTATCAAAAGCCTCAATTTGTAAATTTCATTGTTTTTCCACCCCTCCTTACTTACTCCTTACCCAAGCTACATGTATATGCATGATTCAAACTTTTATCATGCCCTTCTACACATAAATTATGACAACTCTGTACGCAATAACCTTTTTGAGGGGAGGGGGGGGGGGGCTTCAAAGTCATACCAGTGCATTTATGAGTCCTTGTTTCTCTTGTATACTGTAGCACCTGTTCAAGAAGAACTGCTAACACCAGGGAGGAATATGATTACAAATGAGCGATTACAACTCTACAATGATGCTGCAGAAAAACAACTGTAAGATTGATATGAAATGTGTTCTTGGGGGTGTTCAACAAAGATCCTAAGTTGAACTTAACTCTAAGTTGGACTTCAAAATTATCGAGAGCAAATTGAAGTCTTGAAATTAAATATATTCAAAAACGAAAATTCAAGTATTTTAGACTTTTTATGAATTCCTCATCAAGAACATGAAATCTCCTTGATAATAGAAAATATGAATGATATGAATCAACATTTGATGCGTTTTAAAATAACTTTTACAAAATATTTTCATAGATGCTAACGGCTTTCCATAATTTTTAAGTCCAACTTAGGATCTTTGTGAAACACCCCCCAGTACTTGTAATCTTACATTTGTAAAACTTAAGACGACCAATCCCCATATTTTATTTGCTCTGTATGTTTAGGATTCCATGTAGATCTGTAATATGAGCTTTAGATGCATTTATTGATTCTACTAAAGGGTAATGGAATAGTTTAAACCTCAAAACTTTACTATTAAGAAATAATTTATTTTTCACACTGGAAAACCATCTTATAATCCTGACATTTCACAAAATCATTTGCTACTATGTGTCATCAATATTTCATCATGTTTTGCTTCAAGAATGTAACCTAGAATGTCATGATTGATGCACAATGCTAAGGTTTATTTTAAAATCAGATAAACCTTACTGAACAACAGATGTTTATAATGCCTCAAGTTGTCAACAAGTGGCTGAAAATCTAAAAATTCTATAGAAGAATTCTAAACGATATTTCTGAAATAGTACTCTAAGAATATCATAAAACTTACTCAATGAAATTCTGCACTCTTTATCTTTACAATATGCAGAGATTAGTCTAATACTATTTTTTTAAGTAACGAGAATTAATGATAATAGATTACATTTCTATACATGTAGCTTGTAATACAACAAAAATTCTAAGCACACAGGTAGCAATTCTTTCGAATAAAATGTACAAAGTCCTATAGTGACATGGTCCATGAAGTATTACGACAAGTAATGAATTATTGATCAAATTTTCAAATACATTTGTTTACACATAGTTTATGTACAGAGTGTAGTATTTGTGTTATGTCTCCATGAAATAATATCTTCCACAGAAGTGAGACGGGCATTGTCTTTTGGAAGAGTGCAGGTCTAGCCTCATCCCAATCTTATGAGAATACAATAGATGGACTACACGTATCAAATGAAGCCATTCAAACGGTGAGGCAGTCATCATTTTCATAAATACTTATTGTTTGTTTTCATTTTTACTTTTTTACAGAGGTAAAAGATTTGCATGGTTATTCTTTTAGATTCTCTTTTTTATTGAAAGTTAATATTAAATTTTTCATAGCAAACACTGATCACTTTTCTAAAAAATATCAGGATGTTTTCCTCAAACATTGCTGGTTTACCCTTGATAGCCTCATCAGTGTTAATACTGTTGCCAAATTAATTAAAGCCACATGGTTGTCCGTTTCTATAATAATGTATAATAATTCAATAAGATCCAGATTACCAGGCAGTGAAACTGTGATCTACCAAAAAATGACTCCTGGGGGGCATTTCACAAAGCCTTTTTTCAATGACAAATAACAAGAATCAGTGACAAATCTGCTGATAACCAATCAGAAGCAGGGATTTTAGTAGCTTATAACACAAATTGTCATTTGTCACTGATGACAAGTTTTATGAAACGCCCCCCAGGTTGCTTTCATATCTTGACAGTGAGGGAAATTTATTATGATAAGATTTCTTTACTAGGCAGTACATGCAGGTTCAGAGCACTACATACAGTAAGGCCTGTGGTCCTAGAAGTCCACTCTTGACTATCGAGAACACCTCTTATCCGGTAATCACCCAAATGATGTTGAATTCCCCATGAGAACCAACCACTATACCCGGTAGGTCTTTAACAATCCAACTACTGTCACCACAATGTCAGAATATTGAAAGGTACATATGTATGTGTATATATATATATATATGTGTATGTTCTATTTAACTTTGTATGTAAATCATGTTAATCTATAATTTATGTTTCTTTGTCAAATTATTTGTGATTGCTTTTTATATGCACGGCCATGCTGAAGAACAGCCTTTGGCTGAAGTATGCCACCGTGCTAAAATAAAATAAACAAACAAACAAACAAACCTTCAACGTCTTTGTCTGCTGCATTTTCTGCCGTCTTCACAGGATGTACAAATTCTCTTCAACCGATTCTGCAATGCAGTAGTAGACCCATCAGATGCCACCTGTTGCGCTAAACCGTCTCCTGACATGACCTGGATACAGAAAGGAACATTCGCCTTTTTTGTAGCAAAGTAAGTTTATCATTCAATTTCTTTTTAATGAAATTTACATCTATTTAAAGAAAAATGTTTATAGCTCTTTTAAACTTGTTTGATCTTAAGAAATAGAAGATAATACTTTTTACCCTTAGCAGTTTCATAGGTCTTTTCAACTTGTGGATGTAGGGAAACTTTATTTTCTTTGTTTCGAAAAGTCTGACCTTGTCAGGAAGATAATTTGATGAAAATGCAATGTGTTTGGACATAGAAGACCTACCTGTGCATGTACCTGTGCTGCTTATACAGGGTGCTACTCAGAGGAAAACACCGTCACCCTGAGAAAGATAATTATCTTAGCAAAGATAACATTAAAATAATGGAAAACCCAACCATTTTTATCCTGAGGTTAGGGTGTAATCACATTGTTGCGATTCTATGTGTATTAGAAACAAAGTGAAACCTGCTTCATATGACCCTTAGTACAGGATAAACACATGATGATTATTAAAGACCACAGCTGTTTTTGCTTCCCTTGAAAATTGTTTCACATTAAAATCTGTACCTAATATACCTCCACATAAAGAACAACTGCTGATGAAGACAAGAAAGTTATGTTGAGCAGGATATATAGATTTGCTGACTCTTGCTAACTTGTGGATGGGGTACCATTTAGCTGCTCCTGTGCTGTGCTGTAATTTATGGTTACCGGTATAATAATAATAATATGTCTTGTTTACCCAGAGTAGCCTCATCAGTATTCATACTGTTCTCCCTGAGGCCCCTGCTCAAGCATTCAAGGAATTTCTTCCTACCTTCCTACCCATTTACCTCACCTGGGTGGAGTATGGCAAATGTTGATTAATGTCTTGCCAAAGGACATTAGTGCCTCGGCGGGACTCGAACTGCGAACCATGTGATCCACAGTCCGGTGACGTATCCACTAGACCACAACACCTCTGCAACACCTCTACATGATTTATATGTAGTTACAGGATGTAGTTTTACGATAGATTAAATCTTTTTATACATTTTTCTTCCACTACTCCAGCGTCTTTCTTGCCATATTCTTCAAAATCCAGTCCCAAAGGAGGACCACATCCTCCAACAGTAATCATGTTGATGCTGAAGCAGCCAATCATGTCACAGCTAATCATGTGACGGCCAATAACGTCACAGCCAATCATGTTGCTACGAATCATTCAAATACCAAGGAGGAGCCACATTGGGTGGATACTGCGTATCGATGCACGAGTTGCCTAGCTAGATATGGTTTGGTCATGGCCTATGTCTACCTTTGTGATAGGTATGCTAGTGTGTATTTCAGATTGCATCTTCCCCTGACTGTAAAGCCAGAGGGTGGTATTCTTGAAAGCGAACTAACTTTATAAAAAAAAATTAAAAAAAAAAATACACACGGACAACACAGAAATGTTGCCACCACTTTTAGGGGCTTTCCCCGTAGTGGGATTTCTGTATTGAGCTTTAACAATGCACATGCTTACCTCCACTTTTCTAATGTGTAATGAATCTGTACTGTATATGAAAAGTGCATTGCATGGGCATAGAGTGTATGGAAGGAAGTAAGAATAGCCTGCTAGTCATTTGTGGAAGCAACGACTTGCAAAAATATCTAATGTAAAAATATTAGCTTATAGAATAATCCTTTCTTTCACCATTTCTACTGCATAAAAGTATATATCATCTATAATCTGTGAAAATAAGTAAGGAAATATTGAAGTCGCATACAATTATCAATAATGACATGAGTAATGGTAAAAGATTTTTTTAAATTTGAGTTATAAAATGATATTCTGAGCTCAAAGTGAGATCTTCATATTTCTTTAAAACTTTTGCGACATGTTTCCAGCTTGCCATGTGCACTACATCTGTTAATTCCCATCCTTTTTGCTCATGATTATTACATGTAGTTCATACATGTAAGCCCTATACATGCAAACCATACTCATGATTGATATCTTTCTGATTCTTGCAGGACGGACTTGTTTCCTAAGAGGCAGAAGTATTACTCCAGCTTTTACTTTTTCTTTTCGCTGTTCATGGGTTTTGTCATATCACTCTTTTTACATGCCAATACAAAGAAGGTATGTATTTCTTTTAGAATTTTATATTAAAGTGTAACACTATTGAAGGGATCCGGTAACTTTGTCTGAGATTCTGAAACAAAATCCTGGATTTAGCTCATGCCCCAATAATAATTATAAACCTTTAGGTTAGTCTGGAACCCCATGATCGCCTGTCTGATTATCAAGATATTTATGATTTGAAATAAAACCAGATTTTGTGTTTGCCAAACGGTTTTCATAACACTACGGTCTGTTGGGGGAAACAAGTATGGTAAAACCAGTCACTCAAAGATTTTTAATTTCTTAAGATATTTCTTATTCATTTTGAAGCACAATGTTTTTAGGACCGTGCATCTCAGATTTAACATTGTTAAACGATACCTTTAATTTGATATTTGTTTCAAATTTAATTTTTGGATTAATTTGAAAGACCATGATGTTTATCAGAGAATATTAGAAACATATGTTAGGAACATATAGCTACGGAATCTTTGTGTACAATCTAGATGTACACCTGTGTACTTTGCTTCAAAGTATAGGAAAAATACACTTGATCACAGTTGTTAATTCATATTGATATATCATTGTGTGTAGGAGTTACTTAACTGAAGCTACATGTATATGAGCTTTTTAAATTTACAGGTCAAAAGATTTTATTTATGTGGCAAACAAAGTGTAACGTTTGACACAGATGTGTGCTTTATAGAAGCCACCATCTTCCTTCTTCTTCTTCCTTCTTCTTCCTTTTTCTTCTTCTTCTTCTTCTTCTTCTTCTTCTTCTTCTTCTTCTTCTTCTTCTTCTTCTTCTTCTTCCTCTTCCTCTTCCTCTTCCTCTTCCTCTTCCTCTTCCTCTTCCTCTTCTTCTTCCTCTTCCTCTTCCTCTTCCTCTTCCTCTTCCTCTTCCTCTTCCTCTTCCTCTTCCTCTTCCTCTTCCTCTTCCTCTTCCTCTTCCTCTTCCTCTTCCTCTTCCTCTTCCTCTTCCTCCTCCTCCTCCTCCTCCTCCTCCTCCTCCTCCTCCTCCATCTTCTTCTTTCTTCTTTCTTCTTTTTTTCTTTTTTCTTCTTATTTCTTTCTTCCTGAAACAAAAGCTTTTAGTGTTGGTCAAGCCAAGGCTATCTAGTCGGTTATAGACCAAATTGATACTCCATATGTAATTAGCTTTAAGAACAGTGAGAGGACAAGAACGTTTATGAGTATATGTTTGGCTGGACAAAATCTGTTTTTCTTTGAAATACAACTTGCTCTGTATGATAAAGGTGCAGCATGAGTAAGGATCACTAGAACCAAGAAGCATAATGATATACTTGACCATTTCTCCTTTATCTCTTACTTGCAGCCAACCATCTTAAATCTAGACCAGACCAAAGAATGGAAAGGCTGGATGCAGTTATTGATCTTGATCTATCACTACTTAGGTGCCAGTAAGGTAAGATTCAGAACAAGTGGTGAAGAGGATTCATGTTAAGGTCCTCTTGTAGAAGGGGGGGGGGAATCAAATTATAAATATGTGATTCAAGTTGTGTTTGATATTTTGGGTAATGTTTGATTGCAACTATGTATGCTGTTGGACTGTTAGCCCATCTGTCCATGATTATTCAATTAGTTACAGTGTATATATATTTAATATCCAGGAGTATTGTTCATGAATGTCATATGTCTATTTTCCCCAATCATTTGTTTCTATCTACAAATGAAATGAAATGAAAAACAAATGAAAAATGTTAATTTATTAAAAAATTGCCCTTTTAAGGTGGTCTGTCAACGACAGATCACCTATTAATTTCGTCAGAATTTTCTTTCTTTCTTTATTCTTTTTAAAAATTTATTTCAACCCCACTTTTTTGTGCAGAGCATAACTCAAGATCAGTACAGTCAATTTCTTTCAATTCTGCCATAGGTCATTCTCATAATCCATGTTTTTAATCTGCCTTTCTGTGTGTATCCATGTATCAATCTATTTATTATTAAGTGAAATCACTGTTTTATCATCAAAGAATTGTATATAACATGGTTACTATTGGATACTTCGTCTTTATTGATTAAATCATCAGGTAGTGCCTATTTATATGCACCTTCGCTTGATTGTGGCATCGTATCTTTTCATGACGGCGTATGGTCAGTTCTGTGCCTCCTGGGATAAAAACAAATTTGGTCTAGCAAGAGTCTGTAATGTAAGTAACCGATAATTCGGCTCCCTTCTTTCTTTCTTTTTCTTTGTTGGTTTGCTTACTTCTGACTTTAGTTATTGTCTCTTTCAACAAAATATATCTATCTCCTTCAGATGTATCACTGACTAGGCCTACAAAAAAAAATGTTGTATTGCCCTTTGCGACTGACCCCAAAATCTTGAAATCTACGGTCGGCTTTTTAAAAAAGTGTGGTTTTTTAACTGTTTTTTAATGAAAAAAATGTATCGAGGCATTCAAAACGGAGAAATAACAGCCCAAAGAGGGAGTTTTAAAAAAAAATAGTTAAAAAAAAAAAAAAGATTTCTGACAGAGTATTTTGGCTCTGAAAAGCTCTTAAATGATGCTGGAATAATAAGAGCCTGAAAATGTGAGAATTTAGTTGCTGCAAAGGATTTGTAAGTGTTTCTGTAAACAATATTTGCAACAACAACAATAACATGGTGGCTGTCCTGACTATCATTTACTATTTGTTGGCTCCATTAAATGAATGTATACTTAATGTCATGCAGTAATTCTCCAATCGCCAATACCCCAAAATACCAGATGTTAGTTTCACGCCTCCATTCTAAATGTACTCTGGTATAGCTTTGTAATTTAGTCACTTCCGGTATATTTTGTGCGGTTGTACTGTGCAGTGCATGCATGCATCGTACACCTGAAGTATGTAAGTCATGGAAGTGGCTCGACATTACATCCAAGAAGCGTGCATCCCTGCAATAGGAGGGATTGGTGATAGTGAGAATTAAAATGTTCTGATAATAAACAAGTTTATGAAGAAAAAATTAATGATTTTGGGGGTTTGTTACATTGCTAGGTGATGTTCCGCATGAACCTGATGGTGTTCTTCCTATGTCTGGTGATGGACAGACAGTATCAGCTCTATTACTTTGTCCCTCTTGTCAGCTTCTGGTTTCTTATCATCTATGCAACCATGGCCATCTTTCCAAGAGTTACAAGACAAAAAGCAGAAGGTAAACAGTCCCCAGTAAATTTATCAATTTATACAAGATTCTGAATAAATAGCCACGTTATTATGTGACATACAGTTGTACTTGGGGGCCCTGAGGAGGTCTTTTGTTTGATCTTTTAGGTTAACAACGATGGTATTATTGCCAGAACAAATACAAATCATGATGGGCCATTGTGTAATGAATGTTTAAGAGGTTGTATACTTCAAAGAAACATATACTGTGTCACCAATTTTTTGATCAAGGCATGGATCGCAAATACCCTCAATTTTGTATAACAAATATTGCATGCATTTTGTTGTTCATTAAAACATAATTCACCAACAAATTAAGAATTTCCCTTGTACCATTAAATTTGTGTGGCCTTTGTGAATAATAACATCAATTAGGAATTTCAGAATTTGTTGGTTCACATATTTTGTCGTACTGAACACGGGAGGGTTCAATATTTGATTAATACAGCAGCTTGAACAGAGCAGTTAGTGGTAGAGTAAACCAAAGATTCCCCAGTGTTCATTCTAGAATACATCCCATAATAATCCTCATTTTCTTGTGTCTCCTACAGAGAGCTCAAGATGCTATCTCTACATGCTAGCCAAACTTGTGATTCTGGTCGTCATCATCACATGCTTATCATTCTCACAGGTAAGACGGACCATGAGCATACATCTGGGGGTGTTTCACAAAGATCCTAAGTCAAACTTAATTCTAAGTTGGACTTCAACATTATGGAGAGCGATTTGTAGCCTCAAAATAAAATATATTCAAAGCAAATAACAAGTATTTTAGACTTGTCATAAATTCCTTATCAAGAACAAGAAATCTTGTTGATAATAGAAAATATGAAAAATTTTAAAACAACATTTTATGCCTTCTAAAATAACTTTTACAAAATATTTTTTAAGATGCTAACAGCTTTCCATAACTGTTAAGTCCAACTTAGGATCTTTGTGAAACACCCCCCTGTTGAGAGTCAGAAGGGTGCTATCCCGTGGAATGCAGAATTGAGAGTAAAGCCTTTCTGGCTCTTGACAGACAACTAGGGCCCTGTTTCATAAACCTTGTTACTACTACTAATAATAGCTAGTTCTTATATAGCGCTTTTCAGGACCGAGGGCCGTCTCAAAGCGCTTTACAGATATATATATATATATATATATATATATTTTTTTTTTTCTTTTCGTTTATTTCCATTTCCAACAAAATAAATAAAGTACCCCCGCTACATGGGATTGCATTGTACACAGTAAAACAGTAAAACAGTGAAATAACATTACCCAAGTCATCGGATTCAGGCTTAGCCCCACACAATGTATGCACATTCTTCACTACTTGGGGAGCATTCCAGCCAGGCGTCATTGTATACAAGCGCACACTTGCTCATCTAAGCACATTAGCTTTCGCATCCTACCGGGTACCCATTTAACACCTGGGTGGAAAGTACTGGCAAATGTAGATTAATGTCTTGCCAAAGGACATTAGTGCCGCGGCTGGACTTTAACTGGGAACCATGCGATCCACAGTCCGGTGACGTATCCACTAGACCACAACACCTCTACAACACCTCTATATGATTTATATGTAGTTACAGGATGTAGTTTTACGATAGATTAAATCTTTTTATTTATTTTTCTTCGACCTTGTGATCGACAATCGTGACATATCCACTCGACCACGACACCTCTATCAATAACAACTGCTACAGATCTATGACAAATCCGCTCGCAGCCAATCAAATGCCACGATTTCAGTAGCTTATAACAATTATCATAACTCGTTATTGATAACAAGTTACGATGAAACAGGGCCCTGAACTACTACATAATCTATTTCCATTACCTGCTACATGCATTTGTATCAGTTTCTAAATTTTCAAAATAATAGTATTTGCCGTTTCAAAGTAAGTAGACCTAAAGCACGAACAGTTATGAAAAGTTGATATCAAAATAAAAATTGAAGTGAATATACATGTAATTGTATGTATTATGGTGTAGTTATATTGTTATATTGTAATTGCATGTATTATATTGTAATTATATTATTGTAATTATAGAAAATATTGTAATATTTTAATAATATGTATTATATTTAACACCTCATACATTTTAATGTTCATAATTTAAATTACGATTTGGTCCATAATAGAGGCATTACTGTGAACAGATGGTGATATTCTGAAGTGCATTTGAATCATATAGTTGTCCAATTTTTATAACCAAATAAGTATCAGAACATTCAGATGGTCAAAAGCAGAAAGTATATTATTTCAATCCAGTGCAAGAATTTTTGAATTATTAGAATTTGCATATCTAATGAAAACTTGAAGGATTTAGGGATTATTTTTCTTTTATAATATTCATAAAAACTCTTTATGTAATGTATAGAAATCGCAACACACTGTTACAAGCAAATATAATAAACCACTATTCAGAGCATCATCTGAAAGACTGACCAACTTCTACTGACTGCTTTGTTTTCTTCTCCTTTTGTTTTATAGGTAACTTTTAATCTGATGTTTGAATGGTGGCCTATGAATCAACTCTTCTGCTACCCAGGAACATCTATCTATGAATGGTGGTTTAGATGGAATCTGGATAAATATGTGAGTATTAGGATATACTGGGGGTGTCTCATAAAGCTGTTCGTAAAGTTACGCATGACTTTACGAAAGACTTGTATATGAAAAGCCAAATGGGATGCTCAATCATTCTTGATTATTATTTATTAAATTGAACTGTGCAGATGTAGATTAACATTCTTATTATAACAAACATTTTTAATGCAAAGTATATTTTTTGCCACAATTTAATTGAGGTTATTGGAAATATCGGAAAAAAATTTGGGCATCCTCTCTGGCACTTCATATACAAATCGTTTGTAAAGTCAAAGTCTTTATGAAACACCCCCCAGGAAATATATTGAATGATGGCAATCATGGTAACCATGATCGTGATGATGCTGCCAAAAATTATGAGGGTGTGGTCATAATGGGAAGTTGTCGTGATATAGATGTGGATGTGATGATGATGATGATGATGATGATGATGATGATGATGATGATGATGATGATGCTAATAATGGTAATGATGATTGTGGTGATGATGATGATGATGATGATGATGATGATGATGAAGATGATGATGATGATGAAGATGATGATGATGATGAAGATGATGATGATGATGATGATGATGATGATGAAGATGATGATGATGATGATGATGATGATGATGATGATGATGATGATGATGAAGATGAAGATGATGATGATGATGATGATGATGATGATGATGATAATAAAGATGATGATGATGCTAATAATGATGATAGGTGATGGTGATGATAATGATACCGATGATGATGATGGTGGTGGTGGTAGGAATTCTTATAAGGGTATAGTTCACCTTTAACTTTTCCTCCCACTCTTCTTCCAATTCTAGATTATTCCATACGGCATGTTCTTTGGATTCATCCTACTTTCATCCAAATCTTCTAAATGGTTGGATGATAGTCATAGTGGGGACCTTTTCTCACTGGTCAAAACTATTCTTGTATACATCATAGCAGCAGCTGTCTTACTTGTAAGTTATTTTACTTCTAAATACCGGTATGCAATTCTACAAAAAAAGCCATTCATGCATAGCCACTTGAAGCTAATCATGAGTTCTATTGGGATTTTGATGTGAGAAAATGCCTTGCATTCAGATTGTTTATGGTGGGGAATATTTGGACCAGCAAGATAGTGAAATAAACCAGAAAAAAAATAGAACACTTTTTTATGTAGGAGACTCGGTGTTTGTGTGTGTCTTATAGATACTTCTAAATCACTCCCTTAAAGGTGTCCAAATCATTGACAATTAAAAAAAATATATTTTAGATTATGAATTCCACAAGTTATGATTTATGAATGCATTCAACTTGAATTACGAGATGATGTGGTGATAATGGCACAAGATACTTCATTTTCAAGTACCTGTATTTCCATACATTCCAAAATTGTGCTCTCATTGTTTAATTCATATCAAGTAATTTTCTTACATGTTAACAATAATATGATGTGTTTTGCTTTTAGAATATGAAATATTCATAACCAGTCAGTATATCTCTTTTTATCAGTACATACATCATCATATATGCATTACAATTCCCTTTGTCTTAATTTCAGATGTACAGCTACCATTTATACCAGTGTGAAAGCAAGCCTACTTGTAATGCTGTTCATAGTTATACCAGCTTTATACCTGTAAGTTGTCCTCTATTCTTTATAAAAAGAGATATTGCAAGTTTAATAGAATAATAAAATAAAATGCTCATTAAAGATATTTACATGAGCAGTGGCATGAAAGTTGACTCCCAAGTATCCTCCCTGCAGCCTACGAGTACGATATATAAAATCTATTTTCCCATAATAGTGCACTTGAATAGTTACAATTTGAATGGTTCAGATAGATTTTAAGTGCATTTGACCATATATATGTGGAAAATGCGCTATATAATAGATTGTTATTAATATTATTATTATTTGAGGATGATTTTATTTCATACATCGCAATATACTTTCTTTTTTTGGTGGGGGGGGGGGGGGGATCTTTTTGCTTTTATTTAACCATTGGTGCTAAAAGACAGAATAAAACAGTTGTCCTCGAAGTTTAGATTGTGTCTTATAAAATTTGAATAAATGTGATGGGGCTTTTTGAAGAACTATATTTTGTAAATGCTAAAAAAACAAAATTGTGGTGCAGATTTGCCATGTCTTTCCCTTGATAATGAAGTAATTTAATTTAATAAAGTAAGATTGAAGATGCTTGACACTATGTTGGATTTATTGAAAAATGTGGAAGCGCACAGTAAATATGATGTTGGGAAAATATATGAACTGCTGCAAGTATTGTTTTCTCTTTTGGTTATTACCATATTAAGGATAAATTTGTTCATTATTGTCTGGCACAGGTCACTGCCTTCGTTATTCTTAGAAACACCAGTGGATTCTTGCGGAGCAGATTTAGTGTGTTTGCTGCTTGGTTTGGTGATATATCTCTTGAGGTATGTGGACTCTATGATATATTAGAGCTCTAGATGCTACTCTGTGCTTCATTTTACATGATATACATAGTTTGCAGTAATTATTTTAAATTTAGTTCACAAATGTATTGATAATTTTTGTTTATGTTTGGAATCTGAATCATGAATTGAAATGCTGAAGAGTGCATATGGTTGAATAGATTACTGTGGATTTGCTTGTGAAAAATGTACCGGTATTAAATTGTTCACACTTCTCGTGGAATATGCCAACAGTGCTAATCACTCAGCAGTTTCTGTATTTTATTTTTACATATATCTGTTAACGCTTAGATGTACATGTACATGTACATCTGAAACTAATGCGAATGTTATTGAGTATTGTTGAAATTAGTCTTTTATCAATACTGGATCTTCAGAGTGTAGTTTTAACTCCAGGTAGACATCTAACATCTAATACAAACACAAAAATACCTTTTGAAATTTTGTGAAGATTTTATGTGATTCTGTTGGAATTTAGTCCATTACATTTCCAGCATTATAGATTATATGTAAAGGTTTCTAAACATGTAAAAAAAAAAAAATCAATCAGATTTACGTCTTAAAATTAGGTGAAAATTTCAGCAGAATCTATTTTTCATTTATCATGGCTAAACCTACAGATCATCTTCTAAAAACATTATCTGTATTTCCTTTCCCCTTCCATCAGCTTTTTATCTCACAGTATCATGTGTGGCTGGCCCAGGATACTAAAACCCTCCTTGTTCTGTTACCGGGCTTCCCGACCCTGAACCTTATCGTCACCACCTTCATCTTCGTCTGCGTCGCTGTGGAGATCAAGGATATCACCGGAGCTCTCACATCCATCGCAATCCCCAACGAACCCAAGAAACTCTACCTCCGTCTGGCTCTCTTCTCCATCCTTCTTGCCTTTCTTCTCATCTATACAACTTTTTATCATTAGATTAGGGGAAGTGTTACCTCGATGTGAACAGAGATGAGGTGTAGTTGTGTAATCACCAATCAATTGATTATCTTGTGCCTGCCAATATTCTATTGCTTTAAATTTTATTACCAAAACATAGAATAAAATTTATATCATATTTGTAACAAATAGAATCATTGATTTATGTGTAAAAGAGGTTTTATATTATATTCTTGTGAAATTTTGAAAGTGCTTTCAACATATGTTCAGGAATGATGTTATAGTTGTTTTTGAAGGTAAGGTAAATCTGACTAGATATGGATATATCATTAGCAGAATTTTGTATGTGCACAGTGCTTTCATTCCTGCCGAGGTCAATATAGGATCAACAGGCTCCTACTTGTTGCATATATACAAGATACTGACATATCTTTTTATAATTCTGTGCAGCTGTTGGTTTTAAACCTTTTTTTTACATCAAGTATACAAGTTTTGTTTTTCTGATTTTAGTTATGTTTGATACCAACATTTCTTAGAGTTAAACAAGCTCTTATGTATTTATGATTTTTTATGATGTCACAGCTTTGGTACTCTATAGTGAAAAATATAGAGTGGGCCTAGTTCTGCTTGAGGGTGCAGTGCAAGGACACATTGGTTGCACTTGAAGTAAACAGTGACATACCGGTATGTGCAATACTCCTAAACTGGTAAGTTTCCCTACAAAGAGAAATAAATTTGATTGCTATTTTTTGTAACAATTTCTTTTTTGAGAGTTGACAGTTGAGGGGATGCTGTATTAAAAACAAATAATGACTGATTATTTTTCAGGTTACTCAGTGATCTCGAAACTGCACGTTGCCCCTCAAAGCAGTCAATATTTGTATAATGTTGCTCATGATGATTATGAATATGTATGTTGAAGATTGTTGGAATTATTTGGCAATACATATCTGACGATGTGACAGAAAAATCACATTTACTTTCATTATAGATAAGACCTTGACCTCTTGAATACATTTATAGCCTTATATAGCCTTATATAACATGTTCTAAGGTCTGTGGAAATATGTATGTTTTTACAAAAGTACAATCATATTCAATAGGTTAAAGTTTGTTTAATTAGTTACAAAAGCATGACAATCTACTGATACATTATACACCGGTTGATTGGATGAATGCTGCAGGAAGGTTTTTGGTACCATTTACTTTTTTCTGTGATTTTGTTGTTGGGGGGGGGGGGGGAGATGAGACACTTAATGATGACTGAATTAGCTATCAATGCACATTGTCTATGATGGCTCTGGTTAACGTTATCTTGCCAAGGTCATATGACATGTATTTGACTATTTGTACCACACAACTATTGAAATATAGACATGTATCTGCAACTTGGAGGGGAAACATGATTAATTAGCCTGTCAGAGGATCGAGGCCTGTAAATGTCACATAATAAATGCTGACTTTAAAGGGATCGTTTAACAATGTTCAATCTGAGGTGCACGGCCCTATGTCTTATCAGTGCCTGTGATATGGTGTTATATTGAAGCCCTAACAAAATTGCGCTTCAAAATAATCAAGAAGTGCCTCAAAAAAGTAAAAACCTTTGAATGATTTTAAAATACTCATTTTCCCCAATAGACTGTAGTGTTATGAAAACCGTTTGAAAACGCAAAATTAGATTTCGATTTTCAATCATAAATATCCTGATAATCAGACAGGCAATCAGCTTGTGAAAGTCATGGGGTTCCTGACTGACCTAAAGTTTTATTATTCTCATTGCAGCATGAGCTAAATCAAGGATTTTTTTAAAGGATCCAAGACAAAGTTACAGGATCCCTTTAAGAAATATAATCATGTATAATGAAATCAGTATAACGTGCTGTATCTTAGAACACCAAGATATGCGAGTATGTGTCAGACATTTGCTGTACACAGCTACTTATTATCATCCCCATTTGCCATTTATTTTCATGTTAAAAAAAGGATAATAATGCCAAGGTTTTCCATGTCATGTGTGGAGAAACCTGTCAATGTAGCCTCTGTAAATATGACATGTTTTGAACTTTCTGCTCTCAGCATGTAGGATCATTCCATTCTTAGTTAGGCTGAAATTTTAGCGCTAGTTGTGTAAAGCGCCATGATCGGATACCGGCGCCATATAAATATCCATATTATTATTATTTATTATTATTTACTAATCATTGTAATTAACTGATGTCAGTACGTTTAACAAGACATTTACATGTTAATGTAAATGTACATATAATTTACATGTACATGTAGACTTTGGTGATAAGCGCCTTATAAGCACCGTTTTTATTATTATTAGTATTATTAGTCATCAGCCTGACAATCATACATCTCATTATTTTATAATGAAATATTCTGAATTCCTGCCTTGTTGTAAACATTAAACGATTGACATATGTTAGTAAAATTGACTTAAATGATTGTTTCTACTAAATAAAAACTAGTACCATATTGTTCTATATGAAATGACGTGGTGCTGTGATAATATTTGATTATGACAAATTGTATTTCAAAGATAGTATTTAACTTTAGCAAACTTATGGTGAAGAATCACTGCTGAAAAGGTGATTAGAAGTAAAATTTGTTTTATGTCAGGGCTCATAATACTACCGTAAATGTATCCACATTTTCAAGTAAACACATTGGGCCACTTGATATTTCACTTGAGATATTGCAATCAATGCATAAATGTTGCCTTTCCTATAGAATAATTATTTTTGAGAATGATATTATGTTGTGATGATGTACATTTGCTATTATTGTAATGTATTATATACATGTATACAATGATTTTAAAACCAGTGAAAAAAGAATTTCCTGAATGGAAAATAAATAGCAATTCAATTCAATTAATAATGAATGTGTGCCAGATGTGTTGGTCTCTGTGATGACGTTGGTGGATAAGGAATATATTGGCACAATCAATGTTACATAGTATTTTGAAGCCCGCACCTCGTTCTCCCTATTTCAACATTTTTACACATACACACGTTCAAATGCACAACACACATGGTAAATACTACCTAAAAACATTGTTTGCACCTTTCCCGAAGTATACCTCAGCATACATGTATCAAGGTGCATCACGGGAGGTAATTTGTTCTTGCATGCCGAAAGATGACTAAAACACAAAACCCCTTGGGTTATGAACCGACTTTTAAAAAAAAAGACACCAACAAAAATCCAATGTACACAATGAATCTGCATTATTTATTCTACTAAAAACTTACAAGCGCATAGTGCAATATACATGAGCTCAGTTACGTACGTAAACAGTTCAAAGTATTGAGGGAAGGGATTTAAATAAAGATATAGTACTGGGGAATGCTTTTTACATGAAAATTTGGTGCAAGCCATAATAACTCCTAGTACTTGGCCCCTATCCAATTATCTTGTTGTTTTTTTTAAATTCAGTTTGCCATCTGTTCCAATACTTACACGTAGCTCTACAATTGGTTAAATCAACAAGTCTTGTATTTGATTTGAACATGCAACAGCAGTATGATAAGTTATGAATTCTGAGAGCATGAATTAAAAACGCATGCTATTTATGTCACTGTAAGCAGATGATACTAATAAAATATATGTGCAGATGTGCGTTGCTACTATCTTTGAAAAGTGGTGTAGTATTTAATCAAGATGTACCAAGCCAAACAGAAAATGATCGGAAGGACTTTTTTCTGTGTAAACTCTCAAGCAAAACTTGTATCAAAAGCCGGCAATAAGTATTTAATGAATAAGCGTTGAATCACTTTATCTAAGATGGGCATTTCACAAATCATGTTTGCCGGTGCGATAATGGTAGACAACCTTTGACAAACTGCTAACATGGGGAGTCTCTAAATGGTGCATGAAAAGAACTCATATAGTATACAATCCCATACAACTGTACATTTGAATACAAATAAAGACAAAAATAATCAAAATGAACTATAAAAAAAAAAAAAAGACAAGTGCACTAATACTGTTTGAATACTGTCACTACTTTTAACTTCTTTTTTACAAACCTATCTCAATATCACATCAATTAAACAAGTTATCTGTATACTAAATGCCAGCAGATACAATTCCATTGCATGGAAGATTACAAAAATATTCTTTTGGGGTATTTTTCTAGATTTCTTTTTTAAATAATTCATTCAGGAAGAAATGAAATGTTCTCTGGTGGATATTTTCAGAGCTGGCGGCCGCTGGTTTCTAGAAATCACACAATATGATTTGAATAAAGCACAGCTCACTGGATTATGTATATACAAGTTTCTATAACACTTTACATGTCTCCTCTACAACAGGTTTCTAATCTTATCAATAAAGGAAGTTCTTTTTCACTAGAATTGCTTATACAAAGAAAACAAAAATCTAAAAAAACAAAAGAAAAAAAAACAATGACAAACACTCAATTTCAGTACAACCTAAAGACAATGTATCAAACATAATTCACAATGACAGAAAAACGACCATCTAACTAACCAAAAGAACAATATGTTTTCTTAAAAATTGTCCCGTTTCTCTCTAAAAAAGGGAAATGCTTAAAAAGTAAAGCTCAGGCCTCGTCAAAATTATACCTGAAATAGATATCTCATGATTGGCTACATTGCCTGTATCTTCCAGCTTGGTTCAGAATAGCCCCATATCAAATTGCGATTAGAATCACATTACTGAATTACAAATTGAAAAGTTAGAGTTGAATACCGGTACACATATTATCAAAAACAGCTCAACAGAGTCATGATAAAATTTACATTTTCAATACAAATCATTTTTCAATTTCATCAATGAATTATGTGTATGCTTTCATTGTTGTTTATTCACAAATGTAAGAATAGATATATACAGAGCATCGTGATAAATACATCAATTTTTCAACATTTATTCTTCCCTTCCTTATTTTATTTTCCTGCGGACCAACCCCCTGCCCAGATGAAGACATTACCCTACATATAGTACATAATATCTTTTGCACACTTAAACTCCACTCACTTCTAAAAAATGCTTTCATGAGAGGAAAAAAGTAATATGATGCTTCGGAGTATGTACATATTTATATATAAAAGTGTGAGCTTTAGATGGGCTTTCTTTATCTTAAACACCAAGCCACCTGCACATATAAGCCATATGCATGCCTAAATCTGAATTTCAAACTTGAACAAGAACGTCTTTTAAATTTTTTCACTAAGCCTTCAGTCATCGGCTCATGGATCTTAATTGAATGATCATAATTAACTATGTGAACAGAGAACTCAAATTCAGCAATGACTTTTAACTCCGTATTGGTCTCGCAAACGCGTAACTTCAAAACAACAGACAGGCATATTTTAAATTAATATCAGTATGAGCTTCTCCCAGTGATATGTCAATAAATATTTCTCATTCACAAAATGAAGGAGCAAACTTCAATTTGTTTCTCCTCTTAGTGTTGTTATCACAAACGTTTTGATATTTATATGAATACAACAATAATACATGTCAAGGAAAGAATAAAGTGTGAATACTAAAAAGTAGAATACAGTTTTTGAAATACATGACAGTGTACCGAATCAGTGACGAAGTGGGTTGATATGCTATTATTTTCATATGAAATATTTAGAATAAGTTTCTTTTGAGAAACACAACACAGTTTCATCTCTGAGAGGATGTATCGATGCATGATAGGGGATCATTTTTATCCTCTTCAATAAGATCTTATTTAATCCATTTCTTTTTGCTGTTGCAGAATCATGGCTCAGTTTGAAGAAGGATTATTTTCAAAGGGGGTAAACTATTTGAGCACATGTCTAGTGGCAACATCTAGAAGGCCAAGACTCCTTCCTGCTACACCACTATGACAAGGTCCTCGGTTCAGAGGACACTTTTCAGTAGATCACCAGGAAGAAAGTCACAGTCCCCCTAGTGCCAACCAAGGTCTAGTGCTAATTCTGAACCAACAGTACCCCACATTCTTGCAAGGTTCCAATATCTTTATCCTGATCTGTTTCTGGGTTCAAACAGTGCCCATTCCTGAATCATATTATAGTTATTTGCATATTGATGTCTCTTAAAAAGGTGCAATAAAGAGTAAAATATGCAACAATCAGATTGAATACACGTAGAAAAGGGCGACATGTCACTGATTCAAACGATGATATACTGTAGTTTCACTTCAGCAAAGGGCAGTATTAATACTGAATCATAGAAGCTGGTCTTTTGAATTTACCAGAGAAAGTATGTATTTCCCTCACCAATTATATATTTTATGGATTCAAAATAAAAATGATGTGATAAAATCTAAGCTACTTCCATTTTTCTTGTCTGAAATAAAATGAATACATTCTTTTAAAATTGCATTGTATGAATACAACTTAAGTTTAACTTTTTTTGTTATATGTTTATCATATTTTTACTCATAAAATCACTATTCAGCCAATTACAAATCATCTTCATACAAGCTCATTGCATACGATGTAGTGATCAATGCTGTTTTGAGATTTGTGAGGTGTCACGATTCCTACTTTATTCCCCAAGTCCATTCACCAAGCAATCTATGTACATAATGGTTTACCTGTATACAGATGTAACATACAGTAAAATGCATTTGGCCATTATCATTCCTAGCAGTAGTACGCCAAACAATCATACGCTGAGACTTTCTTGTAGTTCCTTGTAACAGGTCTATCTTGTCTGTCCGTCTGATGTGGTTTACAGATCGGTATCAAAGAACGCCAGGCCGGTGTTGTCTGCCGGTGGGATACTGTCAAGGCTCAGATCGTTTGTTGGTGGTCCCATGTCAGGGAGACCAGGATCCATGCCAAAGTCTCCTCCTCCACCCAGATCCAGGTCCTGCATCATAGGCTCAATGGGTCCTGTACCATCATGGTAGCCTAGGAGAAGACGGAGCAAAGAGTGACGGCTTTAATACTGGAAAGCTCACAAGACAACACAAAGTCAAACATTCTAATCTGTGTTATATTCTCATCATCAGCTGCTTCATGAAGTACATGGTCATGATCGAGCTTACAATGCTTGTGTGCTTTTCAATGTAAACAGTCTGTAAGACCATTTGCTTGTCCCCACAACAAGGGTGTAATGAGGTGCACGGCCAGCAGATCTACATTCTATAAATACATATTTCATGCTTTTAATCTTTAAAGTTCAAGCCTTACATCTCTTAATTGTTATAACTAATAGTTTTTATCTTTGGTATAAGAATTCCTTTCCTGTCATTACAAAACTGAAGAAATTAAAAACTTTTCCTAAAGTTTATGTTTACAACATTCTGCTGTGCACACAACAAATGAAAGCCACTACTCATTTGACATGATACAACTAGCAAGATTACCATGACACCATCAGGGAACAGATCATCCTCATCCTGTCCTTATCAAGTCTCCCTTTTTATTTGGCATGACTGAAGTGGTTTTAGGCTTTATAATTCTAACTGCAGCACAGCGGCTAGTAAGATGTCAACACAGCAAAATGCTGTGTATTTATTAGAAACTTCATTCACACGGTACATGAATACTTTGTTTTACGATACATATTGTAAGGTGTCGTGAACTAAAAGAAGGGTATGGGGAGAGAAGGGGAAAGAGGAGAAGGAAAGTAAGAGGGAGAGAGAGAGAGAGAGAGAGAGAGAGAGAGATAGAGAGAGAATGTGGTTGTGCTTTGAGGCTACTGAAACATTTCAAGAGCAGGGACCCATTTCACAAAGCCTTTTTTCAATGACAAATGACAAAAATCAATGACAAATCTGCTGATAACCAATCAGAAGCAAGGATTTCACTAGGTTATCACAGCAACTGTCATTCGTCACAGATGGCAAGTTTTGTGAAATGCCCCCCAGGTACTGACTTACCTTGCATGGTAGGTGGAGGTTGTCTGTACTCTCCATGATTACTGTGCAGACTGTGTACGCTGCCATGTTGGGGATAGCTTGAGTCTGAAGGATGACCTCCCATAGAGCTTGGTGGAAGGATCTGGTTGTCAGACGGCATATCAAGTGGCTGAAATCAAATCAAGTTAAAATATGATTAACTAAAATCAAAACATCAAAATATTATCTTGCTATAATAATTCATATCCCTATAAACTGAAGGGTTCCATATTATGTGATGTTGTGACAGCTGCCATTTTGAGAAAAAAATTAAAGTGATTTCTTCACATCTCATCCTTTCTTTCAAATAATGCTTATTTTATTCATGGCAGAAGACAAAATGGTCAGAAATTTAAAAAAAAAAAAATTAACTTAATTTCCTTAGACAAATCCCTTCGAACATCACAATGAATTGTAATTTATTTTGTGTCTGTGACAACTATAACACATCACTTCACAATGAGATAGTCACCCAAATAAAACATTCACATGAAATTAGATTAATTAGAATTCATACGATGGTTTAAGGAAAAGAACCAATGGTCTCATCAATCTAATTTGAACTTTATTAGGAACATTTAGTGTGTTCTACTGAGGGACTTTTATGTTGCCATTTGGCCTAATCAAACAGGTGATACAGTAAAACCTGTATACAAAGACCACTCAAGAAAAACAAGATAGGTCTTTACAATGAGAGCTCTTTTTAGTACATAATGTTGTAAGGAACTTGTTCAAAGAAAGCAAGAATGGGGGTCTTTATGAACAGGTGGTCTTCCTATGCAGATGGTTGCAAAAGCATGTTTGACTGTACTTACATCACCCCATGGCACTGAATCACCTCTGAAGAGAGAGTTGCCTAACTCAACTGAGATCCTCTTCTTGTAGTCCTGGGGCTTGTCATCTGACATACGGTACAGTACTGCTGCTGCATAGGTTGCTGTAATAACAACAAAAGAGGATGCTTGTTGAATTCATAATCCTCTAATCCCATTTACAACCAATGTAAAGAAATTATTTTTTGAGGACTTATAGATTGTAATGTTCAAAGTTTCTCGTCTTTCAGACAGTCATTATTCTTGAGAATGAATAACACCATTGGTGCTAGTACTAGGAATGAGATATTTCAGGAAAAAGTACTGAGGGCAAATTTTACCCCCACCAAGGGTACTAAATATGTCAATGCATACTATGCACTTGCCAAACTGTTTGGATTCGTCCCCCATCCCCCCCCCCCCCAACGCACACACACACACAAACACACATACCAAATGTCCGGCTGAGAAGACAGCTCAATCATGTTAATACATGGTGTGAAATATATCATTCAAAAAGCAATTAACTACTAGAGAATCATAAAGTGACTATTCTGTAGAGGGAGATTTGAACAATCTTGATAGAAACAGGTGAATTTGGGATGAGTTGAAGTACATACCAACTCCCTCGTTCCTTGAGTGGAGGAGCTCAGTAAGGGGAGCAGTAGCACCTTCTTGTTCAATCATCTCAGCACCTTGCTTCTCTAGGGACAGCTCAGACAACACTCCGGCTGCAACACGCTGGATGTTCTCAATGTTGGAGTACAGCAACTGTGTGGAGGGAGTACCAGAGACATGACATACTTCACAATTTAGCTAGTAATAGTTTTGTTACATTTCATTTGAAGCCTTTAAAAATAGAGGAATGGGTCACTTTACTTACAAGTTCCTGCATAGAATTTTCTTAATCACAATAGAAAAATTTGTGTGAACACATGCTTTGTCTTAAAATGTAAAACAAATCTACAGAGGTGTTTTACAGATTAGCATTACATACAGCATAACAGACATGAAATCAAGACAGTTTTAAACAGAATTAAGATCCTTAAAATATATTTCAGTCAGTGATTGAGACACATTTGACTATCACTCCTATTGATGTACTATTCAAACTGAAGAGCTTGTTGAGCCAGATGGCAGGTGAACCCTTTTCTGTGGAATTACCCCTCTTCTTGGAACTATATATTTCTATCATGTGTCTATAAACATATACATGTAACGTACGTATTGATATTAATAATAGTCAACATTTAAAGCCACACTGTACTATACTACTTGTAACTGCTTGCTCCCTCTATATAGAAAACTTCCCCAATTGGTGCCTGTTGGTCCCCCATGATCCTCTTTTTCTTATGTTAATTGAGAGCTGAGTTAATGAAATGGCCACCTGTCAGTGACCTTGCTGTGTGGTCTAATCCCTTCTGGCTGAACTCGTACAGCCGTCCTTTAATGAGTTGTGTATTGATTTTAAAAAAAAAATCTTCTGCTGAGAGCTCAAAAGGTTTTTAAAAGTGTGTCATAGGATAGAAATTAACAGCCTTTTGGCTCTCTCTCAGGATACACATCAGACATACCTGTACAAAGAGAGGGATGCAGTTGAGTCCTTGGATGAGTGCTCGATTGTGAGAGTCTCTAGCTAGGATATGAAGAGCTCCTGTAGTACCTTCAACAATGTCCTCCATACGTACACCATCTGCATAGTTACCTCCCTGGCTGCCGGTGCTACCCATCGATGAGCGCTGTAAGTCAAATAAATCAGGCATTAAATGTCTATCTCTGATGATTCATGGAGTGAAATTAATAATTTTTGCAACAAAATCGAATGAAAAAGCAAGCGACATGTTTTGTTTAAATATTTAAATACACTTTTCAACTTCTGGTTGTAATGAAAACAATACTATTCTCACTACATCAAACATTATACATCGAAAAAGGTTGACTACAAAATCTATCATAATGTAGATGTATCTATATACAGTACAACCTGGTTATATCTTAAGAGAAGAGAATTGGGTCTATCAATATACCATATAACTGCCGGGCAAAACACCATTCACTGCATGATGTACAAGTTAGAACTTTAAGCAATGTCTGTTTGAAATTTGAAATATTACCAGAACTTGAAATACTAAATGATATATATATCAAACAATGAAACCCTTCTTTTAACATCTACAACCGGAATGTTATCATTTCATGAGTGGAATACTGTAGACTTACTCTCTGTGTGTCTTGATGAGCTCTCATTAGAAGTTGTACCAGTCTGTGTAGAGCTCCTTGTTCTCTGAGTGGAGCATGGTTAGCAGAGCAGAGAGCCAGGTTCCGAATCAGACCAACAGTGGCCTGGGTGGGGTGGAAGAAAAAAGATCAGGAAACAAGTTGGTGGTGGTGGTTATTTTATGTGACTGCTAAGAAAGCATAAATGCTTGTCAGTAAGCAACCAGAGAATCCGACGGCTTTAGGTCCTCTCCGAGAGACCCGATAGTGAGGATGAATACCTTATCAAAGGGCACTAGCGTATTGCCTTGGTTTCGAACCCGTGTCACCGTATTATGAGACCACTGCTCTAATGACTGAGCTATCACGCCTCCTGATATTAGTTACAAACCTACTCTCGAGAAAATCCTGGTAAATATGATATCCTGAAACGTCAACTATAAATAGAGTATATTGGAATACATTCATACATCAATAGCTTAATTTTCTATGAATTGGGCATCTTTAATTTTTTTTTAGCAGGACAGAAATCATAATATATTGAAATGACAACAAATTGTAGAAACTCATATTGTGACAAAATTGAAATGTCAGCTCCCTGGAATTTTTAAATCCTCACAAATGCTTTATGATTGATGTTGGATTTCTCATATCTTCTATCATTGCACAACGTCGGTTCAAACACCTCTCCAGCTTATCCATGTTTATGTAATCATACGTTATTTTTGTGTGCTTAGTGTTCTACATTGTACAATTAGACGATGACAAACCATTTATTCATTGTCATCTATGACATTTTACAGACCTGGAGGGCGTTTCATTAAGATGTGCGTAAAGTTACGAATGTCTTTACAAATGATTTGAATATGAAGAGCCAAATGGGATGCCCAAAGTTTACCTTGACATTTTAAAAAAGTGTGACTGTATTTCCCATAATCTCAATTAAATTGTAGCCAAAAATACACTTTGCATTAAAATGTTTTGTTACTAATGATAAGGTTTAATCTACATCTGCATATTTCAACTTAAGCTTATGCAATTAAAAGGATTTGAGAATCCCATTTAGCTCTTCATATTTAAGTCATTCGTAAAGTCATGCGTAACTTTACGCACAGCTTCATGAAACACCCCCCCCCCCCCCCCAGTAATATATCGTGGAAAGACAGCACATCTTGAAGAAGACATGTACTGCTAGCTTTGTGTGTGTGTGTGTGTGTGTCTTACCTTGATAAGAGGCCATCTAGATGGAGGATGGAGGAGCTTCACAATGACTGGGATACCATAGTTCAGACGCACTGTATTCTGACACATCTCAGCCCCTGGGTGGCGACTAGTCACATGACGAAGGGCACATACCTGTCAGGTGACACACAAATCAAGAATCAAGACATTCAGACTGATTAGTATCAAATTAAATCCTCATGCAACATCTCATTCACAATAGTTAACAAACAACTGTCTCCCCCTTTATACAAATTCACAGGCCTTTATATTAGTGCCCAAAATAGCCACAAATGCCACAGCCCTTTGTATACATGCACCTGATAGGAATTTATTCCTTGAAATGCTAGAGCGCCATATGGCAGTCGTGCTTAAGCCAGGGTAATAATCGGGAGCGCCAGGAGGGTCAAATCTGACTGACATGAGCGCTATACAAGAACCCATTATTATTAATATTATCCCTTCCCAACCAACAGAACATTTTTTATTCAAATCTTGGCAATATGCTTAGCAATTTTCAGTCATCAACACATCACATTGATTTAACTATTGTCTCCTCCAGTTACACACATATCTGCACAGTGGCTACGACCAATTTCATTCATCATGAGCCAGAGATTTATCACCTGGAGTATTCTCAATTCCCAGTATCATCCCTAAGATTTAAAAAAAAAAATAGTAGTTGGTACTTGTAAAGTGCTCAATTCTTTCATATTTGACACTCCTAGAGGTGTATATAATGAAGCAAGCTTCAACATTGCTTCTCTTATGGCAATTTATAGCATTTTACGGAAAGGCTTCCTGCCAGGTATCCATTTTACCTCCCCTGGATTGAGAGGGGCAAATGTAGATGAATATCTTGGCAAGGTCTCCAGTGAACATTCTCAATTCCCAGTATCATGACTTAACACCTTGTGTTACCAGTTTCTTACTTGACCATGGATGTTCATTATTCCACAATCCTCACTCAAACTATCATCAACATCACCACAGTCTATCATCATCATCATCATCATCACAAGAATCGATATCGCCGTGACTTACCGCTGGCTCTGTGATTTCCTCTCTGTCTCCAGCTTTCATGAGTGTCTGTACCAGGGCTTCAACTCCAGCCATCTGACTGACAATCATCTTGTTACGGGTGTTGTTACAGGTCAGGTTAGACAGGATGCCACAGGCGCAGGTCACCACGTTGATGTCATTGGAGGCTAGGAGCTGTACCAGCATCTGAAGGAGTGGCTCAATGTCATCCTGTATTAGACAGATAAAAAGGTATTTATTAGAACCCATATGCAGTCAAATCACTACAGAAAGGAGTTTTTCCACAAGAGCCATCTTAGCTGATCACCCTGTGGATATGTTGTTTGGACACCCAACAAACTTTGCGAGACAGGCTACATACATACTTTCTTTTGAGGCCAATTGATATTTCCCTGATCTTAAAAATATTTTTACGAATTCCCTATTTTTTTTTTCCTGACTGAAAAGAAAATAACTCTGCACAATTAAAGATAAAGACCAGTATTGGAAACGCCCCAATTTCAAAAAATGAAATGGAAGCTCTTATTACCAATCATGTGAAAGAATATGTTTTGACTAATACATAATGATAAAAATTTGCCGGGAAACCGCCTACTAATTCATATATTTGGTAAATTTGTTTCTCTCATGGACTGTGAGAGATATAGGGTAGTCCCATATACATCTTTCTGTGTATAGTGCTTGTAACTTTACGAAGAATGGGCCAAATTTCTTATCATTTTGATGATTCCAGAACCATGCAGATGCTAGATGCTAGATGATCAACCTTTTCTGATCGATTCCACAACGTTTCTTTCACAATGCAATCGCATGACCATAACTGGTCTTTACCTTTAAATATGGTACATTTAAGAGACTACTTACAGTTCCACGATGACAGTCTGAGAGATTCCTGAGGGTCCAGAGACAGTTCTGGACCAAGCGGTTGCTTTGATGTCCAAGGTGGAGACCAAGGGCAGACATTCCTCCTACAACACAAAGGTGCACAAGCAAAATGTTACATGTCATAGGATTCCTGTACCTAAAGTGTTGTTAGATTAAACGAAGCTTTCAAGGTATTGTTGTAATGTCCTTAAAATATGAGGCCCTACAAATTATTCTTTTTGAAGAAATTCAAAATAACTTTGTGTGAAAAGGGCACCTAAGGATTAGTCATAATTCTTAACTTGATTATCAAAATCGATAAAAACATTTAATGGTTTCAGAGTGAAAAATATCACATAATTCTTGTCGCAGTAAAGGGGTTTCAAAAGAAAAACAAGGAGATGTGTAATATTAGTTACAGCTGTAGCCTTAGCCAACACTGTGCATTGCCAAATCGATAATGGTTTCATTCAATGAATCTTACAAAGTCAAACTCCTTGGCTCGAATAGAGATTGGACATGTTACTTATTTCTAGCTGGTTAAAGCCTAACTGCACTAGTTTGGCCAGGAGAGATTATACCTCCCTGCATGGTCACTGACAGGTGGTTATCTCATCACACCAGCTCTCAATTAACTTAAGAAAAAGGGGATCATGGGGGACCAACAGGTACCGCTTAGGCATTGTTTGCTATATTGAGGGCGCAAATAAGTACAAGTGGTGCAGTCCTGCTTTACTACTTGCCTGCTTCAACGATGCCTGGTTTGTTGTTATGACAGACAGAGAGCACCTTGAGCACCCTGCTGGTGGTCCATAGAAGCTTCTCATACTCGTAGGTACGCATGATGTGCACCAGAGCTGCTGGCCCTCCACTGGCTAGGATGATCAACTGCAAACAAAAAGGTAGAAATAGGAATTAGACCGTTACCTCTCCTGTTACTACATAATCAAATGAAGAACTGTTAGAACTTAGTAGTACATGAGCAAATGATTGTCAGTCTAATGTTATCAAACGTAGCACAGATGTGTTTTTTTTAAAGGGTACACAATTTTTAGTTTGTTTCTTTTTATCAATGATTTCTATTTCTCTTTTGCTCTTTTCTTATTATATTTTGTTGTTTTTTGTTCTGTATTAATTTGCTTTTTTTTTTTTTTAGTCTCTTTCAATCTGTATTTATTTTTTATTTTTTTGCTTGCTTTAAAAAAAAAGTTTGTTACTACTTATTTCTACTTCTAGCGAAAAAAGGAGAGGGGTGATTTTGTGGATCTAGTTCCTAACATGAAGGATTTGAGCATGCTATTATCACCTCTTTTGAGGAGTTTCCAGTTGGTACACCTTGCAATACTTAACAGGTCTCGTGAGAGTCACCATTCCTAAACATTCTCTTGAAGATGTTTGCCAATTTCTTACCTTGCTTTCCTGGTTCCCATAGGCCAGGATCTGAAGGCAGTCAGTTGTGATGGCCAAGAATTTAGGATTGTTGCGGGAGAGCAGAGCGACCATCTTCTGCAGGCCCCCTGCGAGACGAACGGCCATCTTGGAGCCTTCTTGGTGAAGAAGGAGGTTGTGGAGGGTTGTGATGGCATAGAATAGTACAGACTCTACTGGGGAGCTGCACAGAGAAGAGGGAGGTGAAATATGGAAAAAAAGTGATTAAAGTAGTACAAAGCATTGTCATTGAATTGGGCAAATCTGAAGTATCTCATGAAAAAAAGTTATATATAACGCTACCCCCCCCCCCCCCTCCACACTACACGCACACGTGTAGATCATAACAAGCAGAAAGACAACAAACTTGATTAAATTTTTTGTTACATTAACATAGTCAGAATTACACCAAACAGACAATTAAGTTATGCACTCTATTAGTATCTACCAAGCACCCATGTGACCCCCTCACCCCTTCCCTTTTGCTCTTGCTTTTGTTCAACAATTTCTACAAAATTGAATGATCAAGTTATCATAATGTCCTTTCTGTATGTTTTGAAAACTGATAAACCTGGGGGGTGTTTCACAAAACTTGTCATCAGTGACAAATGACAGTTTTTGTTATAAGCTACTGAAATCTTTGCTTGGTTGGCTGATTGGTTTTCAGCAGATTTGTCACTGATATTTGTCATTTGTCATTGAAAAAAGGCTTTGTGAAACAGGGCCCAGATCTGTACCTGAGCAGCTTGATGAGAGCTGGGATGCCGCCACTCTTGAAGATCTGGAGCAGACCTGCCCTATGGTGGGAGAGATTGTGCAGGGTGCCGGCAGCACATCTGGTAGTCTCAGCATCGTTGCTGTTGGACATAGCTCTGACAAGGGCTGCCACCATCTGAGGGGAGTTCATGATGGCATGTCGGCTGGCCTCCTTCTTGGAGAGCTGGTGGACCATCATAGCAGCCTGGTTCACCACAACCTATAACAGCAAGAGAAAGAGAGGGTTGTCTTCAAAATCATTACCTACCCAAGCAAAAAAGTTCTAGCTTTTAGAATGATTCTTTCTTTCATTCTCAAGATGCAATAACTGGTGGTTCCTGAATTTGCCCTACATATATTGGATAAGATGAAAGAATTATGTTATGTAATAACATTCTGGGTAATAGCATTGCTGAAAGTTGACACCGAATCTCTAGATGTTATATTGAATAAGACTGAAGATGCGAGAATCCCATCACGATGATTCTACAAACCCAATAAGCCATGACAATTCATATTCAAAATTGACACAAAATGTATTACAGTCAAACCTATCTTTAGCGACCACCCAAGGGAAACACAAAAAGTGGCCTTTGTAGACAGGTGGCTTTTGTCAACAGATGGCCTTTGTAGACAAGTGGTCACTAAAGCAGGTTTGATTGTATTTTCCACATTCTATTTTTATTTAATCTTGAGATCACTCATCATCAGAGGAGAAACACTTACCAAGTCATCATCATTGAGGAGCTTGGTGAGCTCTGGGATAGCCCTGGTAGCCAGGTCAGCATCGTCTTGGTAGTTGATGAGGTTGACGACGGCATGCTTGAGCATCTGGGAGGGTTCTGAAAGGCGCTGTACAGCTGTCGGGTGGGCGGGGTCAAACTGGGTGGATGGGATCTGAACTCCCTCTTCCAATGTCTCTGGGAACATGGCTGCCCTCACACGTTGAGAGCGTGTCTGGGTCAGCTGCTGGTTCATCTCTGTAATTATGGAAGCAGAAATTGGCATTATATTGTTTCTTTCGTTGTAAATATTGCAATATTCTAATTTACTATGTCTAGGAGAATTTTGAATTCTATTTTTTTTTTTTTTTTTTTGCTTTCTTATGTCTGTTACATGTACTTTCTCTAAGCGCCATGAGCACCGAAAGGTGGACCTGTGCGCTATACAAATAGCCACTATTATTATTATTATTAAACAAGAAATGTTATTTGGTTTATATCCAATTAGTTGATACATACACATCAAGTTTAAGTCACAAAGTTGATACATAAGCACTCTCAATCATGTAGAAATTCAGAGTCAGATTAATTTTATTGGTCCAACAATTGGCTACAATATTCAGGAATGAGGATACATCTGAAATGATCTGAAACACTACTCCATTCAATATGATAAAGGTGCTACATTGCACAAGAAAGGTTCCAGTTGGAATAGATGATAAGGTACAGCTTCTTTCCTACATGAGTTATCTTATCCACGACATGGGTCACTCACCGTCAACCTGTTCCTGTGTGTAAGCCTGACCATAGCCAGCATCCCAGTCAAACATGCCCTGAGCTCCGGCCTCCTCACCGCCACCACCACCACCATCCTCTACACGTGACTTGCTGCTCACAGAGGGGGCCTGACCAGGAGAACAAAAAGTGCAAGTTGGTTATATTTCATCGACACTCTGTTGCATGAGAGTTACATTCAACACAAGCTATAATAAATTGTATGGGACTACAGTTACCAGTATACCATTGAATGATGTGCTATAGAGAGACCTTACGTATCAATCACTTGATGTTGAATCGTATGGGTAATCCTTTATGAAAATAGAGTCTGAAACAATAAGAATACATTGCAGTGGCCTTCACTTCTTTAATTCATCTACATACCTAAGGTTTGAAACACATTTCGACTAGTTTTAAATCACATTTGCCAAAATAAAAAATTTGCATTCAAAGATTTATTTTATGTTTTATGTATGACGCTTGTAACCCCTCTCTTATACTTAGGCTGTCCGCCTGTGGTAAAATCTGGGCATCCGATTCTTCCATTTTTACCCATTTTAGCTGCCACACAATTTAGACTTTGGGCAGCCCATGTCATGTCATCAATCGGTCAATGATCAAGTTCACACATAAACTCTCTGGGGGTAAATATAACAAGTCGATAATATAATTCAAAGAGCTTGTCATAAAAGATAAGTGGCTCCAAATTTCAGTAACTTTTTCTCATAACAAACCAAAGGTCAAAAACATCAGTAGATATCTCAGACACATGTATCATATATCGCATGTGTTATTGGAAAGAGAAAGATAAAAATTGAACTTATGTCTATATTACCAAGCTAAAAGGAATGTGTTAATAGGAAATTTAGGAACGCTCTAGACAATTACGTTTGTTTCCAATTCTTCGCTGTAAACTGTAACTAAAAGTTTTTTTGTTTTTTTTTGCGGAGGTGCAAGATTGCATGCGACTCCAAAGAGATAACATGGAACCTTTCTACTTCCAGCTCCAGTGAAAAACAGAATACACAAGATCACAGCAATTTAACTCTTGGAAAAAAGAAAAAAGAGGGGACAAAATTATTAAGATCCACAGAAACAGAGAGAGAGAGAAAGCTCTCATGAACAACATCAAATTCTTACACGGTCCCAATATTAAAATTATAATGTTGATATTACACTAATAATAATAATATCAAGGATTAGTTATACATCCCTATTCTGCAATGTTAGCTATTGGTAGCCCTGAGCAAAGAGACTACATGATGATGTGAACATGGTTAAAGGTTTAACTTACATGTGAGGTGGCATTGCTCTGGAATCCTGAATCCATACCATAGCCATGATGTTGCCATTCCATGGTATTCTGCATTGGATCTTGCTTTGGGAGGTCCTGTAGCCCTGGACCGCCATAGCCTTTCTGCTGTGGGTTTACAGGCTGCTGTTGATTAGAGTACTGCAAGAACAGGGGGAAAGAAGAAGAAAAACACATTAACATATATTATCTATATGAAACAAAAGCTTGTTGATTCAAATAAACCTCATTAAATACAATTTGCGATTTAAAAATCAAATAACACTGAACCAAATCTCAAGTTCCTATCTTTCTCTACAATTTCTATTACATGTACATGTATGTTGTTGACTCTAGTAACTGGCCTCATCAGTTCCATCCCATAATTTTAAATTTTGCAAATGTTGGCTTGTAAAACATAGAGAGACTTTGCATAATTAATGTAATGATCTAATTCTATACAATCTATATTACGCAATCCCACATGATGTGATATTTTTTTACGGTATGAAGAATGATTTCTTACCCTTGCCTGCTCCATGGTGAATGATAATCTTCTTTAATCTCGTCAGTGAAACTCTGTACAAGGAGATAACAAGAGAAAAGAAAAGAAATGCTCTTCATCAGATAATGTAAATAGTAGAATTAGAGTGAAAACACAAGAAATGCACAAACTGCAATGGAATGAAATCCAAAGCTTATTAAGTTTTCAATTTATTCAGGTACTTATACATGTAGATGACTGGCTTGTTAGCATTCAAGAGCCCTTGCTACATACATGCATTATAATGGTCAAATCGCCTAGCTTTGAAGTTTGGTTGATACTAAAAGAAATCACCGTAATAAGCATACCACATGTAGCACACTTCACTTTTTTTCTTCTTCTTCTTCTTCAAAGCACAAACTGCAATGGAAATGGAATGAAATCAGAAGCTAATTAAGTTTTCAATTATTTAAAGTACTTATACATGTAGATGAGTGGCTTGTAAGCATTCAAGAGCCCTTACATGTACCTCATCCTTAATAATGGTCAAATCGCCTAGCTTTGAAGTTAGGTTGATACTAAAAGAAATCACCATAATAAGCATGCCAAATGTAGCACACTTCACTTTTTTTTTCTTCTTCTTCTTCTTAAAAGCATAACAAAGTATGCATAAAAGCATAAAACAGACCGCACTTGGTCCATTCTTCTTCTTCAAATTAAATCTATGTTCAATTTTTCTCAAAGCATGAAAAAGTATGCATAAAAGCATAAAACAGACCGCGCTTACCGGTAGTCCATTTGTACATTACAATTTAAGTAGTCTCAGTAGTCAGTACTGATGGTGAAACCATCAAGCTGTGAGTCAAGGGTGACAAAAATATTGTACGGCCACATCCACACAAGCATATCACATAACATACTAGTAGAATACACAGCACTCAGTCTATTTGTCTACCACAACACCCAACACTGCAGACAGGAAGAGTCTGGAATATTATTTTTGCTTAAGCACATACTGTACATGTACCGTTTGCAATTAATTTATGATCTTTTACAGGCTTCATGTGCATGGATATTTTAAAGTAGCTCCTTCTTATGAAACCACTTATGGCACAGTCACCTCTTTACAATGCAAACAATAAAATTGTTTATCTGTTCAAATATGAATGTACACAATTGAAGCACGAGGGCAAATCTACGGGGAAAAAATTGCAGTTTAATGCACGAGATTCATACCATTAATCTTAAGACATAGCCAAGGTACCTTGTGTGCATGTTAGTACACGTACGCAACATTGTCAGCACTGTGTATATACAATGTGAGCCTACACTATTACCTCAATGCTCCCCTCAGAGTTGAACAAAAGGATTCCTACTTAAGTTTTCCTTGGAAGGTACAGACCCACTGGAAAGAGCCTACAGTGTGTGCCTTTCAATGAAACCCTCCCATTGTTCCGATGACTCACTATTGAATACATCTAAAGGCATAATGTACATACTAACATGGCTTATCTCCCTACCCAGGCCCAGCAGCCCTCACTCATTGGCTTGCATGTATAATGTATTAAAGCTCTGCATGTAAGCCCAATATAATCAGTGGATTGTTTGGCTATGTACAGGTCTAATACAGGACATGCACTAAATATTTGAAATAATAATTCCTCATTCTGTAGGCTTACATGTAAATTACATCAAAGTAACATTTAAAGTCAACATGTACAGGTACATATAGGTTTCTAATGTAGGCTTTTAAGTATGTAATCCAATATAAACAAAAACACTCTATGGAAGATACAGACCACTGAATTAGTCTACACTCATTTACACACTTTCAGGCTGAACCTGTGGGCTGATTGACATGAAACTCTGGATAAATTGTAAACTATTCACCTCTGACATTATCAAGGTTACAAAGGTTTCGGTGACAATCCCAAGTTTTTGATCTGTAATTCTGTATTCTGCAAGCATAACATCACAAATATTGTGATTTCTGCACAATAATTTTGTTTAGACATGTTCTATACTCACTGAGATTTGATAAATGTGCACTTAATATCTTTAAAAAATGCCATACAATGAGATTGAATGTTACATGTATTATAAGCACAAGACTGTCATGTCATGAATTCTGCATGTTTTTAGGACAAATGACCTGACCCGGAAAATACTTTGAATAAATCACTTATGTGAAAAGTATAATTATGAAGAGGGTTATTGTTTTCTTTTCTCTTCATAGGTGACATATCTCAAGTATGACAAATGACAAAGTAGGAACATGAACTTTTGACTTTTGCAAATTTCTGATAGAAATACAGTGTGCAAGTACACTCAGGTGGATACACTAGACTGATCATACATGTAGGTGTATTGATTAATGCAACCACTTTTCTACATGTAGGCCTAATGTCAGGGCGCGACAAACCCGCTTGCCCGACGTCCCGGGGCAACCAAATTGAGCCGTCGGGCAAGTAAATCAAATTATCACTTGCCCGATTCGGGCAAGTGATACTTTTACAGTAATTTCCTAGTGTCCAAGAACTCTACCATTCACCCGTCAACTTCTTACCCGTCGTCAAAATCCAGAAGCAAAAAAGCGATCGTTCCGATTTCGAAAAAACTTCACAGACAGCTAGCCAGCTCAGCTAGCTCAGCGCGCATGCAACAGTGACACTTCAAGCCATGAATGCCGCTCCGCCTCCACGCACGGCCGGCCGTGAGCTAGCTAGAGACAGCTAGCGCGATCGTACCAGCTGCGAGCTTATTCGCGCTCTCTCTCTCTAGCTCTGCAGGCCGCACCGACAGGCCTTTGCTATTCTCTGATTGCCGATTGGTTGAATCACGCCAAATATGACGTCATTATTCTAGGGAAATGAACACGTGCGAATCGGAATGGAATAAACAACAGGGATTTTCTAGTAAGTACAAAAAGTCAAATGTTTGATATTTATTCATAATGACTGTTAATGATTGTGAACATATTATTTAAAACTCGCTGCTCATATAAATCAGATGAATGTGAATCTGATTATTTATGGAGAATCAATAAAATGCGTTTTTTAAACCTTCAACCATCCTTTGTTGACCATTTTCTTTGACGGTTTTTGTGCTAAACGGTTAACCGTTAAAAGTATACGGGCGGTTTCGTTTAACCGTTTAATAATAATCTGAAAAAGTGAAAATACAGTATTTGTAATAGTGCTGTAGCTCGGAACCCCGCTGGTCTTCAGACTGTCGGGCTGAGCATTCCCAGCCCCGGACTATGGCACAAATTGGGTCATCCTGATAAACAGAGACCAGTAATAAACAACATAAAACATGTCTTATTATTCCTCATCTGAATTTGATATCATGATTAACCTTGCAAAGTTACTCTGTGAAGATAGCTGATCTGTGACGTGTTTATATATGCCTTTGCAATGCAATGTTTGCACATGTCAGGGAGAGAGCTCCCTGCATGTATCATTGCCATATGAAATTATGTGGAAGTGTGTATCACACACACCCAAGACACACCCTGCAATGAGCTGATCCAAGTTAGTGACCAATCAGGAAGGTTCTCTAGCTATGTGGGTGGAGTTTGATACCAGCATAAATTACAGGTTGGTGACCGCGCGTGCTTTCACCGTACCCAGTTCAGTGGGAGGTCAAGAAGCCACGCCCACATGTGTGCATGTGACAAGCATGAGCTCTCCATCTGTGTGTATGTACAGTGTATTTGGGCGCCGGAGGTTTGTGTGTACATGTGTGTGTGACTGAGAGAGCATGCATGGGCTAGCATGTCCCTGCATGTCCCTGCATGGACGAGGCAGGGACACGAGAGAGTAAAGAAGTAAAACAAGTGAGACTAGATAGAAAGGGTGGCTGTGTTAATCGGCTGAATTGAAGAATGATCAAAAACTTAAATTACTCACAATATCCAAGACTTTGTTTATTGATATTTCTAAAACTTCAATTATTATTGTTATCAATATTTTTGTATTTTATTTATATATGAACATTATTTTAGGGGGCGAGTCGGCAAGGGATGGATATTAATATTGAGAGAGAGAGAGAGAGAGAGAGACTCGGGGGAGAAGGGATGTGAGAGGAACTGACCATCGAATGTGTAAACATTTAGAAAGTTGTGAGCTGAGAGTGCAGTAATAAGAAAAGGTACATGAGCGATGAACACATTGCAGAGAGAAGGGAATAAAGAGGGTGAGAAAAGAGAGAAGGGGGCTGGTTGTTTTATTGTTTACAAATTCATTCATGGGGATTACTGCTGCCAGAAAGCTGGCGCGCAGCGGCCAGGGTGTAACATTACACTGCGGTTTCTTTGATTATCTTTATCATCGGCAATTAGCACATTCCAATATGTATGCAAATAACGGTTAACGGAGCGAGAAATGCTAAACGGTTTTGATGAATGCGGTCGGATAACCGTCGGTTAAACGGTTTGACTCAGGCCTAATATTAGGTTATTATTCAGTACAGTTACACTGTACATGTATGTGCATTAATTTGCTATCTAAAACACTAACTTATCATTACGAGATAATAAATGCTTTAACCTCGAGTCCTTTTTCGCTTTAAAGTTTTGGGCAAGTGGAAATATTGTTTGGGCAAGTAAATTGAAAACCCACTTGCCCGACAGGGCAAGTGGTGAAAAAAATTCTTGTAGCACCCTGTAATGTATGTACCAATTTATTTATATTTTTAAAAAATAGCATTTTTCATGCATATGGAGAACAGATCTGTTTAAAACCTGCATAAATATTTATACATGTATGTAAAAAAAAAATCATCTGTTTTAAAAACCAGCCATGTCATTTTTCATGTTTTGTTGTTGTTTAAGAATTTACTAAATTTCATGTGCATACATGTAGGATGCTCAATACAAAAATGTTCTGCACTTTAAGCAAAAAAAGTTAAATCTAGAAAAATAAGACTCTCAGCTTGAAGCTTTATCAAAGTCCTACACTGTATAAGACTGTATAAGACCATACACATGTACATGTATATGGTACCTTTCCTTACATGTATAAACTATAAACTCATGAACACCCATCTGAAATATAAAAACTAAAAAGCCCTATTCAATGTATATCATCAATTG